TACTGTAGAAGGGAGTGGTGTGTTCACCAGTGCAATGACTTGGGGCACGTTCAGTGTGGGGACCCCGTCTGCAGAGATGGGTACGGTGAATTGTCCAATGCACACGGTTGGGACCTGGAGTTGGCCCCTAGAGATGTTCATGTCAGCGCTGCGTCCGACATTACTGGAAGATGCCATGGAAACTGGATATGAAATGCTTTGTGGAAAAAAGGCTTTTTGAAGCGATCCCACAGACGACGCCAATTGATGTCGCGCAATCTGGCTGCTCCTAGCTGGTGGTGGCTTAGTTTCCAGTAGACGACGGATGTGGAGAATCTGCACAAAAAGAATCAAAGAACCCGGGGGTGCTTAATCGATGAGGTCGCTCAGATGGTTAAGTCAGTATGTACGAGCTGAGAATAATTAGAGAGCAAGAGAGCTAGTAAGCAGTAAAATGCGCGTACCTTGGGCCCCGGGATCAGATCCAATTCACCCTAAACACCTGATCAGACCCTTTCGACCTCTTTGATACACCAAAAAATCCAGAAAACCCAAATTTCACCTTGAGAGCCCTTAGATCCACCGTTAAACCTGCCTGATACCTATCCGATGACCTCGATTGACCCTCACTTACACCTCAACCATTATATCAGACACAACCATCAGACCCGAAACATCCCAAAACACCCTCCCATGAAATTTGAACTCAAGATTCCTTCATTACCCATCCATAAAACAAAGATTCGATTTTGAATATTCTCGCACCCACCACCCATATCCACTTGATCCGAACACATCTAAACCAATCAAACTTTTTCAATCACCCCAGAATACCAAAAAAACCCTACATATGAAATTTCAGCCCATAACACCTTCATTTACCCTCGACCACGCAAAGATTCCATTTCGAGGCTCCAGATTGATCAAATTCTAAATATGTCCAATCTAGGCCTAGTTGGCTTAATCTAACCTTACAGATTACCCAAAAATCCTACCCCATGAAATTTCAGCCCAAAACACTTTCATTTACCCTCAATCACACAAAGATTCAATTTTAAAGCCCTAAATTAACCAAATCAAACCCTTTCCAAATCTATCCAATACGAGCCTAGTTGGGCCAATCTGACCCTGCCAATCAACCCAGAATGTCTAAAAACCCCACCCCATGGAATTTCATTCAAAATTACCCCCATTTGCCTCTTCATCCAAAAAGATTTCATCTTCGCTCAATCTGATTGACCCATGGACACGAACCCCCTCTGTAGTTAAACCCATCTCAACCCTCAATTTTCTGACCCAAAAATCCCCACCATTGAACCAGAAACCTGGCCTGACCTAGTGACCTCCTTAAACCTGGTTTAACCCATTTTCATCAAATTTACCAAAATACCCCTCCCACCAAAATTACTAAAATGCCCTTGACCAAAGTTTACCATAATATCCCACCAAATCACCGAAAATGCCATTAACCATAGTTACCCCAAATTACCCTAACCTAATTCCCAAAATACCCCTCTCACCAAATTACCCAAATTACCCCTAACCTAATTTTCAAAATACCCCTCCCACCAAATTATCGAAATGCCCTTGACCAAAGTTTCCCAAAATACCCCAACCTAAATTCCAAAATTACCCCTGACCCAATTTCCCAAAATACCCCTGACCAAATTCCCAAATTACCCCTTTGCACTAAATTACCAAAATACCATTATCGAAGTTTCCTCCTTCCAAATTACCAAAATACCCCTTGACCAAATGCCCTTCATACCCTAAAATTTCAAAATTACTCAATTTCAAATTCCCAAAATACCTTTATTGTGTCCCATTTGTCAAGATACCCCTCGTCCCCAAAATACCCTTTAATCCTAAAATTACCAAAATGCCATTCACCCCAAATTTCCATAAATTACCCTTTGGACCCCAAATATTGAACCCCTTATCCCTTTAAACCCTAACTTACCCAAAACCCCTTTTTGTTTTTGATAATTTACTGACCCATCCCTTGCCCTTCATTATAAATAAAGGCGCCTTTCCCAAGAGAAGGGGGGTGTTTGGTGGAAAGGAATAAGGGAATGAAAGGGGGAATTCGAAAGGGGGAGACTCTCGGCTCTCTCTTTTGAAGAGCTGCCGAACTAAGAAAGAAAGTGGGAGCGCTGCAGAAGAGAATAGGGGAGAAAGGAGAGGGCTCGGGTGAGACAAGAAAGATGAAGGGGACTAATAGAGGAGAGGGATTGCTGGACAAGGGTTTTTGCAATAGAAGGTTTCAAGAGTTTGAGAGAGATTGAGGAAGAGAAGGAGGCTTCTTTGAGCTAGAAGTCAAAGGAGATAATAAAGATACAAAATGAGAGAAGATTCCAGCGCCAATGTCTGCACATTCGACATGTCTCTTCGTGCTAAAAGTCCTTAGCGTCAATCCAGACATTCGATAACATCGAATCCTTCAAGTCGTCTAGCTTGAATCCGTAAGCTCTTGAGAATCCAACAACATCATTGTCCCAACAACTCAAGACTAATTCCAGCCTTAGAGTTCTATTGCAACATCATCAGTCTGGTTCACAGGCCACAAGAGATAACATTTGATACCTCATCTCCTTTCCCTTGCTCGAAGTAGATTAACCTTCGTTATCTGTTTATTTATTTCTTTCATTGTCTTTTTGCTTGTTTTTTATATTGTCTTGTTATTTTGATTCTGAAATCAGAGTGTCTCCTGTAACCGAGAGGCTAGCATGCTTCTCCACTCTTCGGACCAGTTCAACTGAGTCCGAAGGTGGGGGTTCTGATAGAAAAGGGGTGAGGGATCCTCGTCCTTTTGCTCAAGCCCCTGCATCCAAAAGGGGACTGGTCTGCAAGATAAGAGATAACATGCTCCTTTGAGTTGCTAGAGAACCTGGTAAGCCAAGATGGGAAATACAGTATTTGCATTGACCAGAGATAGGGGTGCCTAACCCCTTCCCTCTCTCTTTCTCAACTTCCCAGAGCGGCCTTGTCCTAGCTGATCGGTATAGAGTCGTTGATTTTAAATGATTTCATAAAATTTAAATTCAGGAGACCCATCACTCCCCATTATTAAATTCTTGATGGGTGGCGACTTTAAACACTCAGCCAGGAAGTGAACTGCCAGTTTATTCCGACGTTCACACACACACACCTTTCCTCCTTTGACCCCTCTCTCTCTCTCTCTTCCCTCTATCTTCCTCCACAATCTCCATCAACACCAAATCACCTTTCTCCTTGGACCTCTCTCTCTTCCCTTTATCTTCCTCCCACTCTCCATCAATACCAGATCATCAAAGAGAATGCACCATATCCACTCTATATAAAATAACTAAAAAAAAAACCCAAAAAGTAAAGCATCTGTCGATCTATAAATAGTCAAGAAAAAAAAAGTAGAGAACGAGCGGATTCCATCCTCTTTCTTCTTCAACAGTGGGGGTACTTTGTTGATGAAGCAGAGAATGAGTGAACCGAATAGGGGTGGCGGCGGCGGCGACAACAAAATGAAATTCGATTTCTTTTTCTTCTTCCTTTGGGTGACGGCGACGGCGGCAACAACCCCTTATGGAGTCCGACATTTCTCTCTCTTCTTGCTTTGGGCAACGGCGATGGCAGCGACAACCCCCTTTGAACTCCCACCTCTCTCTCTCTCTCTCTCTCATTCCATGACAGCGACAACATAACTCCGATCTCTCTCTCTTCTTCCTCTGGGCGACGACAACAACATTTGAACCCCAATCTCTCTCTTCTTCCTCTGGGTGATGACGACAACGTTTGAACTCCAATCTCTCTCTTCTTCATCTGGGCGACGACGACATTTGAACTTCGATCTCTCTCTTCTTCCTCTAGGTGACGACAACAACATCTGAATCTCTCTCTCTTCTTCCTCTGGGCGACGACAACAACATCTGAACTCCGATATGCTCTCTTCTTCTTCTGGGCGACGACAGCAACATCTGGACTCTGATATGCTCTCTTCTTCCTTTGGGCGACAACGACAACATCTGAACTTCAATCTCTCTATCTTCTTCCTTTGGGCGATGACGACAATATCTGAACTCCGATCTCTCTCTTCTTCATCTGGGCGATGGTGACAACATCTGAACTCTGATCTCTCTTTCTTTTTCCTCTAGGCGACAACCCACTTTGGAGTTTGACCTTTCTCTCTTATTCCTCTGGGTGACGATGACAACATCTGAACTCCGATCTCTCTTTCTTCTTCCTCTAGGTGACGACAACGGCGGCGGCACCCCCCTTTGGAGTTCGACCTTTCTCTCTTCTTCATCCGGGCGATGGCGACGGTAGTGGCAACCCCCTATGAACTTCCATCTCTTTCTCTTTCTCTCTCTCTCTCTCTCTCTCTCCTTCCACAACAGCGACAACATAACTCTGATATCTCTCTTCTTCCTCTGGGCGACGGTGACAACATATGAACTCCGGTCTCTCTCTTCTTCCTTTGGGCGACGACGACAACATTTGACCTCCAATATCTCTTTTCTTCCTTTGGATGATGGCGACATTTGAACTCCGATCTCTCTCTTCTTCATTTGGGTGACGTCGACAACATCTAAATCTCTATCTTCTTCCTCTGGGTGACGATGATAGCATTTGAACTCCGATCTCCTCTCTTCTTCCTCTAGGCGATGATGCCAGCATCTGAACTTCTCTCTCTCTCTCTCTTCTTCCTCTGGGTGATGACGACAACATCTGAACTCCGGACTTCGATCTCCCTCTTCGTCCTCTGGGCAATGACGACAACATCTGAACTCTGATCTCTCTCTTTTTTTCCTCTAGGCGATAGCGGTGGCACTGCCCTATAACTTCACCTAGCGACGGATGGGTGGCAAGTGGGTGGAGTAGAAACTATTGGAGAGAGAATGAGATAGAGTAGTGTAATTCCACCTAGCAGCAATAACATTTGAACTCATAAAGGGTAGTTTAGATATTTTGCATTGTTTTTTACGGAGATTAACGATAAGAATAGAGTTAGTCAAATTTTAGAAACAGCAGGGGTAGTATTAGTCGACTTTTAAACAATAAGAGTATACTTGGTCAATTAGTTAAACCATTAGAATAGTCTAAGAAATTTAACCCCTAAAAAAAACAGTCCGATGAGTGATTGGATACGATGCCCGATACCCGATACCCGATAACCGATACCCGATACCCGATATTCCGATGCTATAATCCTAGGCCGTGCCAAATAACCCACCAGAAACCTGCTTCTAGGGTTGCCGTTTATTTGCTCAAATCCTCAAACTAAAATCGAGTGTCAGCGGCAGACGACGACATGAGTTAATGATAAAGAACCATCGGTCGTCGTCATCGATCACCATCTGATTCAACCCAGAACGGTACCGTTAGAGCCATATTGGTTCCCTACAACTTGGTTGTGAACTTTGGATCAAGAGTAGTAAAGAAAAAGGGGACGAAGAAGCTCATCTAGCGAGCGTACAAAAGACCTAGAGGAAAGAGAGAAGAAGCTCATCGATGGACTAGGGTTTCGTTTTCTTCATTCTTCGAGGACGGGTTCGTAGTGATCATTGTTGTAATAATAACACGGTAACACCATCAATAAAACTTACAAAAACTGCTAACAGTATATTGCTTTGTAATTATAATAAAAAAAAAAGAATAATGATAAAAAACACGGCATCTTCTCGCGGTGTGGCCACGAGGTCTAACCTGAACACTAGCCGTACCAGTACCGGAATCGATATCTCTAAACCTTTGAAAATCGCTTCGACCGCTGTGGCAGATGGGCGCTCTGGCATAGTTTCCAAGAAACGGCCGGAAGGCGCTTCGACTTCGGCCCCTAAGAGCAAAGAGACCAAGCTCAGTGCTCAATCTCCTCCAGGTACTTTCTCCATCCATTTTTTTTTGACATGTATGAGTTGTACACTAGGTGCACATTTATGTGGAAAAGCAACTGTAGTTGTGCTTAGCTGTGCATGTTTTTTGTGTACTAGAGTTTCAGACGTGTTCTTGGTCTTCTCAGTATGATAAATATGTTTCTGTCGAAGTTTTTCTTTTGGGTAGATTTGTTCGTGACATCTTGCCATTATGCATTTTATTTGGTTACAGTTACGTTGAGTCAGTTTATGTGATGCTTTCTGTCTTGCATAGGTTGTATGGTGCGTTTTGGAGGGTTAAAGGGCTAGGGCTTTGATTTGGTATGTTTCATTAGTCCTAGGGTTTTGATCAATTGGTGTCAGATCTGCCTAGACTTAAGTGAGTAGCACCATGGTTTCAAGTCACTGGATGGGCTACTTGAGAGTTACGTGTGAATGGATGCCTAGAGGCTAGAGTAGAGTAAAAGCTAGCACATATCAAGTACGAGAGTGAGAATTATCCTGAGCGAGGGTTGTTGAGACATTGTTAGTGGTAAGTTACAATCGCAAAGGATTAAAGGGCCTGATTTGGTTCTCATTAATCGGTGTTAGAGCCTATCTCACATCTCGGGTTTGAATCATGAAGAAGGGCTGAAGTGGTTTTTTGGAGTAGAGTGAAAGCCATAGCTGAAAAAATGCGAGCTGCCTGGAATTAGAGCTAACATGGGTTCAAATGATCCTTTTTTTTTCTCTGTAATAAAAATTTCTATTTACTACAAAAAATGTGATTGAGTAATGGAAAAAGGTTAGATTAAAGAAAGCCTACATGGAGCAGGGTGAAAATTTCCTCGTGGAAAATTTATCAAAAAAAAAAACAAAACCTCGTTCGAAAAGGATATTTGCCAGTTGCCACTGGAGTGAGAACCACACACAGTGAGTTGTCAAGACATTGATTACAGGGCATGGTATTTTATGGACACAAGTGGATAAAAGGGCCTGGTTTAATTTTTACAGGGCATGGTATTTTATGGATACAAGTGGATAAAAGGGTCTGATTTAATTTTTATTAGTCCTAGGTTGTTTCTTGTATTTGTTGGTTTGAATCAGTTAATATTGGAAAACTCCATGTTTAGAATTTGAATCACAAAAAAAAAAAAAACTACCTGATAGATGGGCTACTTGAAGCTGTTGCATGGAAAGGGTAACCAGTTGCCAAACTGAGTGCTTCCAGAGAGCTATAGTATAGCATGGAATTGATAATTTGAATTTTGGAAGAAGGGCCAGAAATGCCAATCAATAGGTAAAATGAGGCGTCATAATATCAGCTACTAAGCATGGTAGTATAATATGGCTCAAAAGGATTAAAGGGCATTATTTGAATCAGTTATAGGTATTTCTCTAATCTATAGGTAGTGTCCCTATAATTTTTTTGGGTACAAAGGAAATAAGGTCAATCAGATCTAGGAAAACAGCATCCAGAACTATAAGCTAATGCCAGATAAGCTATAGCCCAGCAAGGAGATGATAGCGTGTCAGCACTGTGACCTTGATTGGTGAGCCAATCTACCACCTGGTTACCTTCTGTATTAATGTGAGAGTATGAGATTGTTATGTTCTCTATTGATAAAAAAAAGATTGTTATGTTGTCCTCCAGTTAAATTTTCATGCACTCCGCGAAGCACCTCCATGAAGCTTCAAATGAACCACACAACTTCTATAGTGACTTTGGAATCTCCTTTGATGATGAATTGACCAGTGATTTAAAAGGCTTGCCTTAGGTGCGCCTAGGCGGACAGGCGAGGCACATTTTAGGGTAGGCGCCTCGCCCAAGGTCTTAAATTCTTAGTCCCTATTTGGTAATGTTGTTCATTCATTCATCCTACTAAAGTATCTTCTTAAAAAGTAGTTAAAATTATAAAATCATTATTTTTTTTTTGTGTGAGAACTAAGAATTTAAGATCTTAACATGGACTTGTTGGGGCTTGCCTCGAAGTGGATTGTAGAATCAGGAATGTAATATGTTTTACATCACATTAGATACTTTAAGTAATGCAATTGAGGAAAAAAATAGATTGTGGGTTTTACATGCTTGAAAATGTTTTATATGTTTGATTTTATTTTTAAATTCACATTTGAATATGCTTTACATGTTATGTTTATGTGTTTTAATTTTAGGTAATAGGTTTTTTAAAACATTTATTTTAAAATTTAAAGTTTATATTTTTTATTAATATTATATTTAACATTTTTTTTTTAATTTTCACCCTTGCTTCAAAAAGGCGTGTGCCTTGCACCTTAGGCGCAAATTGACCCCTGTGCCTTTTTTGCGCTTTGTGCTTTTAAGACACTGGAATTGACTTCCATTCATAGATTTAACTACTTCGTGGGCCTCAAGGCCCACCCTCATTTTGGCCACCATTATACTAGTGATAGCAATGGGTCCTTTGGCCTGTTGTATGATTTCTCTCCTATGGTTTCTTACCACATACCTATAGGCACAATTGCCATCCTCTCTCCTAGATGCATCAATATTTATTTTGATTTGACCAGGGTTGGGAGGGTTCCACCCGATCCATATTCCATAGTATTTTCGGATCCTTCCTCTCATTGCCATTTTGTATTTTTGAGTATGTAAGTAATCTCTTGAGCTTTCTAGGGCCTTTTTAATTGTTTTTGGAGGCCTAAATTCCTTGTTATTAAAGATCTTCTCATTTCTATGCTTCCAAATATACCTGAAAATAAAAGCAAATTTTTTTCCCACGGATAGTGGTATGTCTTGTCCTTTTTTTACTAGAAATTCTATCAACTATTCTTTGATTGTAGTTTGATTACCTGAAGGGGGTGATAATATATCATCAACTAGCATACAAACTTGACCTGCTGCCTGGCGATGGATAAAGAGGTGGTTTATGTCTTCCATCTCTCCCCAAAACTTGCACTCTAGGTCATAGTTGAATCCTCTATCAAATAGTTTCTTTTTTGTAGGGAGCTTATCTCTTAGGGTTAGGCCACATAAATATTTTGATTCTCGGGGGGCATTGAATTCTGTTTATTCTCATGCTTATTTTCTAGATGGTTTCCTGTTCCTGTTCCTCATTTATAAAATCTTAGGCTGATATAACCGAAAAGGTTCCTTTTGGATTTAGACCCCATACCATATCATCTTCCTATTTCACTCAAGGGCAACACTATTTTTTTAATTTTTTCCTAATTTCCTTAGGGAATAGTAAGCCTATTTTCTCCATATCCCATTCCCTCATTGGATTTTTGATAATTGCCTCAACTTAGTCTGATTTGACTGGTTCGTACTACTCTTAACCCAATAGAATCTACCAAGGATGTGTTTGTAGCCCATCATTCCGTCCATAGGTTATATGTCTTTCCATATCCTATTATCCAAGACACAAACTGCTTTATCTTTTCTCTTTGTTTGCATATGCCTTTCCACACCCATGGAGCTAATTTTCGAACCGAGGCTTGTAGGAAGTTCTGATTTTTTAAATATTTTTTCCTTACAATTTTGACCCATCGATTATTATCTTCCTTCATTGCTTTCCATCCAAGCTTCATAAGATTTGCACTATTGATGGCTTCCATTTTTTTTGATTCCTAGACCACCATTTGGTTTTGACATACACACTACATCCCATTTGGCTAGGTAAAAAGGCTTCTTTTCTTTTTTCTTCCTCCATAACATTTTTATAGTTTTTCAATCTCCTTTATATTATTTTTGGGGAATTCGAAAAGGCTTATTTGGTAGTGTCCCTATAATTAAATGAAGAAAAATTGCCTGTTGGTTTTTGCTGAATATCTTTATTCCTCTGAATAAATAAGATGGCTTTTCTTTAATTTCTTTTTTATTACTTCTGTTATGATCTGTGAAGAAAACGTTTATTTCCAAACCTCATCTTTTAGTTAGTATTTGTAGATGGACTTTGGATGGGATTTTAGACCTTCAGATTCAACATTTGTAATAGTTGTTTTTTGTAGTTTTCTTTTATGATGAAATGGAAAGAAATGCATAGTTCTATAACTTTTACGAAAAACAAACTAGAAGATCATTAATCATAATACTATATGCTACCTGCTTTTCAGCAATCCAATGATTCCTAGTCTTTAGGCAGTTGTTAAATTATTTTTTTTTGTCATGATTAATATATCTTAATATTTAACATGTTTTATCTGTTATCTTTGCTTCTTTGAAGAGCTATCAGATACAGAAAGTGAGGAGACAGAACTTAGTAGTTCCAATGGAGAGGAGTCATCTTGGATCTCTTGGTATTGTGGGCTTAGAGGAAATGAACTCCTTTGTGAAGTTGATGAGGACTATATACAGGATGATTTCAACTTGTGTGGACTTCAAGGACAAGTTCCTTATTATGACCATGCATTGGACATGATTTTGGATAATGATTCTTTGAGTGGTATGGTTTTTCTATACAATCTTCCCTCGCTATTTTTCTTTTCTATCTTTTTCACTCACCCTCCCCACGAATCTCCACTTTATCATCTTTAGGTGTTGGAACAAGTTAAGCAATGTTTCAATCTTATATAAAGTTAGTAACTAACAATGGTTTTGCTATGAATTAATGGAAATGGTCCTGTTTTTCAACATCCGGATTTTCCCTTTTTCTTGTTTTTTTGGTATAATGGGGCAATTTGATGCCTTTTGGGCTTTAAGAATGTGCATGTGGGCTGTAATGACCTCTAAACATTTGAAATTGCTGTGGAGCCTCTACCGTTGGTACCACTTATTGTGTCTTTGCTCATCTCTAAACATTACCTGTTCCTTGCATTGGGAATCTTTTTATCTTTGGGAAAACATTTTACAGGTGAGTTGGATGGCGAAGAACACAGTGAGATTGAATCTGCAGCAGAGTTATTATATGGCCTCATACATGCCCGCTATATCTTAACCAATAAAGGATTAAATGCTATGGTAAGGTTTCACTTCTGATGGCATTGTTTAGAGATTGTTGACTTTATTAGGTGCATTTTATTTTGGTTACAAACTTGTATCTGCAGCATGAGAAATACAAGAGGGTGGATTTTGGACGGTGCCCTCGGGTTTTTTGTGCAGGGCAGCCATGCTTGCCTGTTGGCACATCGGATATTCCTCATAATGGCTCTGTGAAGATCTATTGCCCAAAATGTGAAGATCTGTACTTACCTAGGTGCAAATATCAGGGTAGTATCCTTTATTTAGATGTTTAAAATTCAGCACTATTACTTTTTGATGGACAAATTTGGCACCATTAAAACATAGATACATACAAGCCCTTTTATCTAGATAAAACTTATATGGATCATATAACTCTTGTTTTCATATATTATTTACATATACATCTATTTTTGTGTATTCATACATGTATACATACGAGTGCATACACATATATCAGTACATGCATATTCACACATATCTGGTTCACTTAGATAATTTTGTCTTCAAGAAGGTATATTGTGCATTTTATTACTTCACAAAAAGTATGGGAATGTACATCATCCATATACATCATGGGAATGTGAAGCGGAAAAAAGTGACAACTATAGTTGAGCTTATCTATATAGGGACACAAAAAATAGAGTTATTGGGTAAATGTCTTCTTGGATCAAGTAATGTGAGAGATAGCTGGAAGAAATGAAGAGAATAAAGTTGATGGAAAACAGTTTAGAGGAAAGGAGAGAATAGGTTACATGATTCCTATTCCTCTTTATTTACTCAAAAACATATATTTAAATTATAAAATATACCCATGTTAAGATGTTTTATATTCCTATACTATAGTCTCAAATGCATCATGCAACTCTCCCCCTTTGGTTGGAGCATAATTGTCATATATACCCAGCAATAGTATACAGATTGGACTTTACAATCACTTTGGTTATATTTGGTAACTGATCCTCTCTAGGTTAGCAAAGTTCCCCAGTTCAACCTTCTCACATGTGTGGTGTGATATTCCTATCCACATCAATGTGTTCAATTCTCTCTTTTTGAATTGGATTGTGGGCAATGCTTATACTATTGGACACTCAAGTTTGTGGAGAAGTGTCTTCAAGCAGAGAAACTCACAGGTCCATGTACAATGGTATGATACTTTACCTTAAAAGTAGATCCAACCACACCGGATTGTTTTTTACTCTTCTAGAGGCTAGATTTCCTTCCACTAGTGTAGAATGCCCAGAAGTTGACCTTTTGTTAGTAACTAAGCCTCCTCAATCTAATATGAATTGGCCTCAACCTTCATGTGTCCATTCTTTCAAAATATTGAGAAGACTAGACCTTGGAGAACGACTTAACTAGCTAACTACTCCAATGTCATATGGAATATCTGGTTTGGATAGCTAATAAAAAAATCTGGTTTGGATAGAGATAGATTTGCTTCTGTACCATGTGTTGAAACATACTGACATCATGTAGTGCTCACCTTATTGATCATTCAATTTCAGATACCTTTTTTTCCCATAGGTGTATCTTCTATCTTGGAAACAAATTTCCTTTTTTTTTTTTAAAAGAAGATCAAGGGTGTATTTATGCTGAACAATGAAAACACCTCCCTTAGACCTTGCCACCTCAATATCAATAAAATGTACCTATGACCCTGTTTGTTTGTAGTGCAATTTCATTTGAACTGGAAATGAAGTATGGGAGTCCAAATGAGCTTTATTACAAATTCTAGTTTACTTTTGTTTCAGGTTTTACTTTGTTTCCTTTTTTTCATATATTAGATGAAATACAAAAAGACATGTACCAAAGTTTAATAAAACCTGGAGTAAAAGTGAACCGGAATTTTCACTCCCATTTATTTGTACTAGTGCAAATAATGTTGCATTGAGCCTAATGTTGTTAATCCTTTTTGCACTTAGCTTAGTGTGTTAGTAGTAGATGTTGGAGTCTATTATTAGTGTATATAAAATTTGTGTACAATCTTTGCATGTGTATATGTTATTGGGGTATGGTATTAGAAGATTTACAGAATGAAGGAAGCTTGTGGAATGACAGTTTGGAGAATAGAAATGGAGGTTAATGGATTGATGTGGGTGGAGGAATGGCATAAAACTGAATGCCTAAGGGTTGCAACTTGGGTAAGCCTGGGTTAGGCATATGTTAAAATTTGAAAGGGCTTGGTCTGAGGGCCTGGGTCTAGTGTAGTGGAGTTTCTTTAAATTGGTTACCAATTTGCTGGACCCCTTCGAATGAGTTGCGTAATGGCTCAGAGAATGAGGTGGGGACATAATGGAGTCTCACAAAATGAGTAAAGTGGATCCATGGCATGGAACCAAAGGTTCCGAAATAGATTGAAATAAAGAACTTATTGACTGGCGGTGCCAACTTATATTATTATATATAGGGCGACCATAATTAAAAGGGGAAAGACCCATATGCCCCTACTTAAGTTAGAGTACATAAATTGATAAAAGACTACCTTAACCCGACCAAACAAACTTTAACTCAGTAGAATACAAACATAAAAAATAAAATAAACATTCCAACATTTGTCCTCAAGTTGGGACACAGATGTCAATCATGCCCAACTTGTCACACAAATTATTATGCTGCACACTTCTCCGTTCACAAGTTTTCTGTCATACCCACTGGTAGATTTTCTGTCATCAACTGCCCTTGCCCAATCAGCCTCTATATACACCTCCACCTTCAAAGTCCATGTTTTTGGAATAACAAACCAGCTCTTGGGAACTTCTTGAGGTATCTAAGGATCATTTTTGCAGCTTCAAACTGAGTTGTCTTAGGGTTATGCATGAACTGACCAAGGACACCCACTGTATTGGTGGTATCAGGTCTGGTCCTAAACAAATATAGGAGTCTCCCTACAAATCTCTGGAACTTTTTCACATCTTTTAAAAACTCCCCCTAACTGTCCTCTAGTTGATGGTTAGGTTCAATGGGTTAATCAATTGGCTTCACTTTTAACTTGCTTGCATCCTCTAATAGATCTAGTACTTAATTTTCTTTGGGAAATAAAGATGCCCTTTTGAGAGCAAGTTACTTCAATCCCAAGGAAATACCGTAAGGGGCCTAGATCTTTCACCTCAAATTGAGTGGTTAGGAATTTCTTCAGCTTCTGTATTTCAGTCTTCCAATCTCCTGTGACCACTATGTCATCAACATACACAATTAAAGCTGCAATTTTCTCTTCACCTTTCTTTACATAATATGATCTAATTGGCATTGTTTGAACTCCATCTGCTGTACAACTAAGTAAAACTTAGTAAACTAGGCCCGAGGTGATTGTTTTAAACCATATTATAAATTTCTTAATCTGCACACCTTCTGCTCACTACCTTTCGGCACAAAAAGCTGGAGGTTGAGGCATGTAAACTTCCTCCTCTAGGTCACCATTCAAGAATGCATTTTTAACATCCAACTGGTGAAGTTCCCAATCAAGATTAGTTACCAGTGAAAGGAGGATTCTAATCGAATTCATCTTGGCTACTGGAGCAAGGGTCTCTACATAGTTTACTCCATATACTTGCGTAAACCCTTTGGCCACCAATCTAACTTTGTACCTTTCTACTGAACCATTAGCCCTATGCTTTACTGTGAATACCCACTTGCATCCCATTGGTTCATTTCTTTCAGGAAGATCTACCAACTCTCAGGTGCCATTTTGTGTAAAGCGTTAGTTTCTTCCTTCATTGCATCTATCCATTCAGGTTTGGATAAAGCTTCTGCTACATTCTTAGGAACAAAAACATTGTCAACAAAGGAAAGGAACACACGATATGAAGGTAAAACATGATCATAGGACACAAAGTGAGAGATAGGGTGATTAATAGTACAAGATCTAACACCCTTTCTCTTAGCAATAGGAACATCAAGATCATTTATAACAGGGGGATCACAATCAAGAGGTTCAGGAATATCAATGGGAACAAGTGTACCTAGTTGACGAGGAGGATCTGCCTCTGGAGAGCCTGATGATGTTGGTTGCACAGTTTCAGGTTCCACGACTTTTGAACTCTACTAGCTCTTATGGCGGTGAAGAAAGACACAAAATGGAGGAGGATCAGGAAGTGAAGGTAATTGAGTCTGAGCCTCCTCAACCCTACTCTCCTGAGGAGAAACCGAGAAAAAGATTGATTCTCAAAGGAGACATCCATGGAGATATAGTACTTGTGTGAGATAGGATCATAGCAACGGTAACCCTTTTGAGATAAAGGGTAACCAAGGAACACAGAGAATGGCACGAGGATCAAGCTTACAACAAATAAGAGACAAATCATGAACAAAGCAATGACACCCATTAAAATAGGGGACAAAGGAGCCGTAGGAAACAAAAGTTGATGTGGGGCCTTATACTCTAGTAACCGAGATAGTATACGGTTGATGATATGTGCAACACGTAACAACATCCATCCAAAAGCGTTTTGGAACATTCATATGGAGTAATAAGCCAAGAGCTACTTTGAGAAGATGACAATTTTTTCTTTCAGCGACACCGTTTTGTTGGGGTGTCCTCGCACAAGAGCTCCGATGAAGAGATCCACACAAAGCAAAGAACTCTGTGAGATCACTGTGGAGGCACTCCTTTGCGTTGTCCGACTGGAAGATATGAATCTCAGTTTGGAATTGAGTGAAAATCATGCGTTGAAAATCTTTCACAATCTTTGGTACTTTGTCTCTAGATCTAATAGAATAAACCCATGTATATCTGGAGTAGTCATCAATCAAAGTAATGAAATACTTATATCTAGTCTCAGAAGGTAGAGTAACAGGGCCCCAAACATCAGAATAGATAATATGAAAAGGAAATTCAGATCTTTTATTTCTTAAAGGAATAGAAATTTCTACAATGTTTGCTCAATTGGCATGTCTGACACTGCAAGTCACTAACTAACAAAAGCTTAAATAACTTAGGAAACATAAGTTTTAAAGACTCAAACGAAAGACGACTAAGACGATTATGCCACAAAAAGGCATGACTCTCACTAGATGAACTTGAGGACTTTGTAGCGCTACAAGGCTGGCTTTATTCTCCAACACGTTGAGACCATCCACCATGCGTCCTCTACCAATTGTCTTCCCCGAGGCCAAGTCTTGAAACACACACGAATAAGGAAAAAAAGGTCATTGAACAATTCAAGGAGTGAGTAATACTGCTATGGAAAGTAAATTGATAGGTAATTTAGGAACATTCAACACATTAGAGAGGGTAAGATCGAGAGGAAGGGAGATGGTTCCTTTACCGGCTATGGTGGAAAATGACCCATCAGCCAGTCTCACCTTATCTCTCCTATAGAGGAGGTTATATGCCTGAAATAAATTTGACTTACCAGTCATGTGGTTTGAGGCTCTAGTGTCAATTATCCAAGGGGAATTAGATGTATGGGATGACACATGGAAAGCAATGGCAGTGTTACCTGATGTAGACGCAAAGGAGGTAGGGAAGGGGTAGGGCTAAAATTCATCTGGCGAAGTGTCCTACCATATAATTCCAAATGGTCACGAAAGGAGTTGATGATCTCTTCCTTGGGGTCAGAACCAGAGTGTCGCTCTTGGGGTACCATGGAACTAGTCTCTTGAGATGCCACATTTGCTGAATTATATTTCTTCTGACTCTACTGAGTTAACTTCTTACTTGGATCAGATGTTGATTTCTTACTCAATTCCTGAGCCCATTTAGGCTTGCCATGAAGATCCTAACATGTCTCGTGTGCTTAGACTTTTGACAATGAGTGCACCAAAGCTTGTCTTTGTCATACACTTGGTGTTTTAAAAGCGAAAGGCGCAAGGCGAGGCGTGCACTTTTTTGAGGCAAGGCGCACAATTTAAGAAAAAAAGCTAAAAAATAAAAAAAATTATAAAACATAATATTAATAAAAATATAAACTTAAGTTTTAAAAAACCTATTATCTAAAATTAAAATAAATAAACATAATATGTAAAGCATATTCAAATGAGAATTTAAAAATGAAATCAAACATATAAAACATTTTCAAGTGTATAAAACCCATAATCTCTTTTTTTCTCAATTGCATCAAGTAGCTAATGTGACATATTACATTCCTAATTCTATGAGCCGCCTTTGTGCCATGCCCCTCGAGGCAAGCCCAAAACCCTAATATGTAAAGTTTAATTCCTGTAGACCATTCAAGGTAGTTCAGTCCATCAAAGGGGATTACAGCCATGAGGAAACTCATATCCATCCCACCACTCATTCCATTTTGACCTTCTGAAATTCCAGAAGTTGCAGAATTCTCAGAGTACATGATTCAAACACTTTTCAGATCCTACACACACCTTATGATCCCTCCTAACACCAAAAACAATCCTAGTAACACACCAAAGATGCAGCCGGCATGCACACACTGCAATCTGGACACAATCTGAATACAAACCAGCTTTGATTGTCCAAATTTAGGTTGATTTCAGTGTTGTACTGCCCTAACAGTCAGACTCCACCAACTTCCAGACCATCCAGACACATTGATTACCAGGAGAGGTCATAAAACAGTACCGTCACACCACAAAGGTTAAAAAACAGGCCATCCATGACCTACAGGTCTTGTATTTTCAGGTATGGGATCACAGGATCCATAAAAAAAGAGGTTAGAACCTCAGAACTTCTCTGACGACATTCAACAGTCTTGATTCATTTGTTTTTTCTTGGTACACGTTCAAGAGAAAAAAAAGGTAATAGAATAAGTTTGTACCAGTTGTAGGTAAGCCTTTCTGAACTCAGTTGAAGAAGACAACAAGATAAGGAAGAGAGAACTTGTTCGATCTGCTCTCAGACCTAGTAGAACCGCTCTGATACCATATTAACAGAGTTAGAGAGGAGAAATAAGGAAGAAAAAGAGAAGGGAGAAGAGAAGAGAAAGGTTTTGGAGTGAACTTACTGACTGGCGGTGCTAGCTTATATTATTATATTGGGCGACCATAATTGAAAGGGAAAAGACCCTACTTAAGTTGGTACATAAACAATGATAAAAAACTACTTTAACCCAACCAAACAGACCCTAACTCAGCAGAATACAAACACAAAAAATAAAATAAACACTCCAACAAGGTTTTACTTTGTTTCCTCTTTTTTTTTTTTTTTCATATACAGATGAAATACAATAAGACCTGTATCAAAGTTAAGTAAAACTTGGAGTAAAAGTGAACCAGAATTTTCAATCCCATAAAATAAACACTCCAACAAGGTTTTACTTTGTTAATCCTTTTTGCACTTTGCTTAGTGTGTTAGTAGTAGCTGTTGGAGTCTATTATTAGTGTATATAAGATTTGTATAAAATCTCTGCTTGTGTATATGTTATTGGGGTATGGTATTAGAAGATTTACAAAATGAAGGAAGCTTGTGGAATGGCAGTTTGGAGAATAGAAATGGAGGTTAATGGATTGATGTGGGTGGAGGAATGGCATAGAAGTGAATGCCCAAGGGGTGCAACTTCGGTTAGCCTGGGTTAGGCATATTTTAAAATTTGAAAGGGCTTGGTCTGAGGGCCTGGATCTAGTATATATATATAGGAATATGATGTCTTTGACTATGGTTGTTTTTGCTTCCATTACCTGCATCAACCCTCATAAACATTGCTGATAAGTCTAATGGGCCTGAAATCCTTCAGCTCCAAGGCTTCCTTTATTTAATTTTTTTACAAAAGCTGTGAAATCTGCATTAACACTTCATTTGAAGGATCCAGTTCAATGGAACTCACAAAAATTTCTAAGATATTTCTTCTGATTATACCCCCAAACCTCTTATGGTATGTCATGATAAAGTCATCAGGCCCTAGGGTATTATTCCCCTCCAAATCCTTGAGTGCATTTCTTGTTTCTTCTATAGATAGTTTCTCTAGGCATTCTGCTTGCCTTTCCATGCTGTGTCTTCTTTTCCATGATTCATGATAGAAGGATTTGTAACAGGATATGACTGCTCTCTTATATCATCCTCCACAAATTCCCCATTGACCTGTATTAAATTTCTAGGTCTGGCATTTGTTATTTTGTAGAAAGACTTGGTGCTATTATTCCCTCCTTCAACAAAGAAATTCTTGCCTGTTGACACCTTGTCATAGTTTTGCTTGGCTGGAAGTACATAAACTGTTTTCTATAATTATATCATGAATACAGGGATTTGAACATGCATTTCTGCTCTTAATGGTTTTCTGAAGTATTTGTGCCAGACAACTTATTGGTGTTGGGCATTGAAATATGTTTGTATGTTCTTGGTTGGTAAGTGACACCGGATGTACTGATAAAAAAAGAGGCAGATAAGGGTGGACATGCTTTGTGAGACTTATGAGATGAATGCTGTTCATAGATCAATGGATCTTCACCCTCCCTCTCCCATAATCCACCCAAAGATAAAAAGAGAAAAGAAAATTAGAGGTTGACCCTTTCAGTTTCCCATTGAAATCAGAAGATCTAAGAGAGTCAAGTGCATAGACTTGTTAAGGATAATCTGTTCTAGAGTTTCATCTCAACAAGTCGCAGGAGTGAGATAGCCAGATCATTCACATTTTTTTTTTTTTCCCGTTGTGAATTGTTATCAATAATGGTGTCAAAACCTGAAGTGTTGAATCCATCGCTCAATTGGAAGTCACAAAAATATTAGATAATAGTTTATTGTGAATGGTAGAGTGGTTTTCTCTTTCAGAGAGAAATAGGGTGCTCTTGGTCTCAGAGTCTTCTCTTGTACAGGTTCTTTGTGTTTGAGAAAGGAAAGGGAAAACAGGTATTTAAAGGTCAAGGATTGGTTGGTTTGGGTTGGTAACTATAAGACACTATATGCTATTTTTTATTCTCCTTCATAGTGAAAAACTGTTTCATTTCTCTTGTGTACATAGGCCGTAAGGCCAAACCACATAAATCCTTTGTGTTTTTGGTGGTGCTCGCCTGTTTGGTTTTATTATTATTATCATGTGTGCTTAGATTTCTTTATTGTTGTTGCTATTGGATTCTTGGTTGATCTTTTGTTTCAAATGCTCTTTTGGGTGGCTATTTGTGGGCCTAATATTGAGTCTTCATGGGAATTATGAAATTTACTTTATAAAAAGATGTTTTGACTACAATGCGATAGTCAAGTCATATGTAATACGAGGTCCTCATGTAACAAATTGCAGCATTGCTTTGCTTGAATAAGTTCTGGTTGCTTCTATTTTCATTGTAGCAGAGAATTTAAGTAACAGAGCATGATATTGTTAATTATTACTGTTATATAAATCGTTTTCTATTTTGGTCTCATATCTTTGAGGTTGTTGGTATAGGGTTGATTTTACAATGTACAATCTTTGCTTTCCCCTTTCTTTGTCTCTTTGACATATCTCAGATATGGATGGTGCTTATGTTGGCACAACATTCCCACACTTGTACTTGATGACGTACCCTTCCGCAAAGCCTGCAAAGCCGGTTCAGTCTTATGTACCAAAAGTATTCGGATTCAAGATCCACAAGGGTTCAAGATGATAGATGATATCTAGGTTGACATGATAAGGACATCAATGCTACTGCATAATATGCAACCGGATGGATGTGTAAAATGGTAAAGAGATGTCCAGCAGAAAGAAAAAAAGAACTGGTAAGAGATGCTAGAAATAGCATAGAGAAGCTTCATCAACGCTCCACTAGCACCATATAATTAATCCTAGCCTAGGAATGCATGCTTTTTTTTATTTTTTATTTTTTCGTGTGATATGTGGCCCACGGGTAAGAAACTGATTATCGTCATTTTCCCATCACAAATCACTACAAAGATTGATAATTCAACGATGACACCAGAAAATAAATCATCGTTTTTTTACTCCAAATCCCAAGCACAGGAGTACATCCCATCTAATGACTGATACTATCAAGTTATGGTTGTCATTTGCCTTTTTACCATAAACGTTGTATCCCAATTCTCAAGTGCTTTATTTATTGCAAGCACAAATCGAATTTTCAGTTTCTCCCCTCGGCCTCAACGAGAGAATCTGTCGAGGAAGCCGCCTGTTTTTTATCATTAAACTGCTACGAGGAACAAATATGAGATAATGGCCATCGCATGTGTTTTATCATTAGACGAGGGGTGTAATTATTGGTTTAACAGCCCTCACATTGCCATCGCATTCAGCTAATCCAAGTTCATATTTTACATGCATTGGACATTGACTAAAAGCTTTGGAAGTTTTTAACATGTTTTTAAAATAAGGTATTTATACTTATATATATATATATTCAGAATCTTTATCTTATGCATCATATTTGCATATGAAGTATTGTTATGCACCAACACCAAAAGTTGAGTCAATGTGTATCGGAGTTTTGGATTGGATTAGGGTGCTTCCAAATTTTATTCAATTTCTAATCAAATGCTATTTGCTTCATCTGAGTTCAATCCAATAATTGATATAGTGCATCCGAATCCTAGATAACTGGATCAGATGTCAGATCAGCACCTAGATCTTAGGTCTTAATACTAATTTATGAAATTATAGGTTGTGTTTTAATAAATGACTCCAAAACTACTTGGCTGTTTAAATTTGGCAACCTGGATCGTCAAAATGACTCAAGTGATAATTAATTGGTACCGGATACATTTTAGGGTGAACTCAATTAATTTCATGTAGGGCTAGTGAGAGTCCTAAGCTTGCATTTGTTTGCATTGCAAATGCTGGTCGGATACATGGATGCACCTCGGTTTAGTTTTGTAAGCAATTGGTAAGAATATCGAAGTTTATTGAAAATGGCATCCATCACAATTTCTAAGACATGTTTGTATTTAAAATGAGAGAAAAGTTTGTATCCAATTTTTGAATACAAACCTTGCATTCAAAGTTGGTCAAATGTAAAAAAGTAGTTTAAGTATTGGAAATCATGTTTGTATTCATTAAGACCAACTACAAAACTTATCAATGAACAATTTTATATTTTCATGTAGCATATTTGGAGTTCACATTGGCACCCCACAGCACATTCCATATTGGAAACATGAGAGATCTTCCCAATGCATGCTGTCTGGGGCGTTGATGTGATCTCGCATAATTGATGTTGAATGTCGGCAGCAAAAGTCTTCTCTGCACACTTTAATTCTTTTTTGGGAGAATGACTGTTCAGCCCACCTTAGAATTCTTATCTCCACCATACAGGTGGGTGGATTAATGCCAAATTTACAGACATGATACTATTTATAGGGGCTACTAATAGACTATAAGAGGCTGTGGTTTCAAAATTTTGTAGTGTATTTCTCCGTTTTTTCTTCGGTTTCATGCAGCTGTGTAAATATCTAATCATTTTAAACACAGAATCCATCACCATCATCCATCTGACACAGAAACTAGAAGTAACGAGAACGAGAACAGACTAATCTGTATCCTAGGTGGGTAAATCTTTCCGATATCATAGATTTTCCCAGTCCGGTTTATCTTTCCCGTGCAACTGACTGACTCCATGAAAGAAATTGCATCACTCTGTGATCCATTTATCCTCAATTTGGTCACTGGGCTGTCAAAATAAACAACAGCGCTAACCCCATCGTCAAATGAAATAATTAATCGAGGATAAATTCTCTAGTGGTCGTTGGACAGTTTCCATTGTTTAATGTTATTGGCTTCATTAGAAAGTATTGGGGGATATATTAATCTAAACGAATTACAGGCATTGATTTTCTATTGATTTTTAGATATTTAAATTGTAAAGCCTAAATCTTAAACTCTAAACCCTAAAATTAAAATATAAATTGCATTTGGTAGGATACTATGGCTATCATCATTCTAATACATGAAACTGCAGAGTGAAACAAAATAGAAAAATACAATTAATGCTTAATCAATCAAACCAAGTCGTCACAAGAAGCCCAAGAAAAAACAAAAAAACCAAACCGTCACAATTCACAACGGATAGCTAGCTAGAGCAAATCAAATTCTTCAACGAGACGATTACGGAGAGAAAAGAAGAAAAACCGAAAACGATTGATTGAGTAGGTGCGGGTGAGTAGTGCTCAAAAGAAATTGGTTTAATTTGGAATGAAATCAATGATGGGATGACGGAGGAGGAGGAGGAGGAGGTGGTGGTGACAGAGTTGTATTAACAGAAGGAGAAGGGCAAGGTCAATTGTTAGAATCATGGTAGAAAGGATAGATGGTATATACGGTCTGAGCGATGGTGAGTGCCATTAGGACAATGGCAGCAATAAGGGATAGAATAGCCCAAGGGCTCCTGAAGTAAGTGTGGATGAGATTGGCACGCCACTCATTCCACCTTTTCTTGCAGTAGTCATGAACTTTCTTATGTACCACGTCGAGACCACTCTCAGGGTCAAGTGTGACGTCCTTGGAGAGCTGGTTGAAGAGCTTTGCGACGCCCTTGTCACTTCCAAGAGCGTTCTGTATGATCCCACTAGAATGCAGTAAACTAACGTCCTTGGCGTTGTCGATGATGTTGTCCATGAAGAAGATGTAGGAGGTAATTTCGTTGCCTGCTCCTACATGAAGCCGCTCAAAGGCCATGAGGTTGAGAAACATGGATTCCGTCACATCGTCTACCACGATGAGTGGGAGCTTTAGTACTCCACCGTGAAAAGTGATGTCTCTTAGGCTCCCTGTTTTGCTCTTCTTGAATCGGATTCCGGCCTCGTAAAGTTCGGTTGCTGATCGGATGATCTCGCCTGTGCTTTCGTAGTCGTTGCTGTGCGCACTTGTTGATTTTCTCTTTTGTTTCTTTTTATGGGACTCATCTTCAAGCAAGCTCTTCCTGTATGCGTCCAATACGTGCAGACACTTTCCCTTTGGAACTGGTGTGTTGGGGCCCCAAAACTTGATTATCATCCTGTTAAGCACCTCGTCTTTCTGATTGATTGATTGATTATTGGGCGGGCATCGGGGGCCGGGGCAGGCATGCACAATATATAATTAATTACATATGAACCAAATTAAATTAAAAAACTGATGAATCAATTATATTGATGATAAGCTAAATAACTACAAATTAATAATTTCTTACAATGGGTTTTCCGGTTTCAACAGCGAGCAGCTTCTCGAGAACCAACATAGGTAGCTGGTTTTCTATCATTAACATGTCTCTCCTGATGTAAGGCATGAAATGGAGCGTGCCGTGACGGCTGAAGATGGGGTCGTTTGAAGGGTAGTCGTCGTCGTCGTCGTCGTCAGAGGTCCCAATTTGATCAGTACGTAGCACCTCCAGCATGAAACATCCATCAAGAAGCATCAGCTGCAAGAATTTGTTTGTATCTTGGTGCCAGTCGGAAGCGAGGGAATCATAACAGTCTTTCAGCTGTTGCACCACGCTCTGCAGTGCTTTAACGTACTCATGTATGGACTTGTTTGATCGCTTGAGGAAGTGAAGGAGTGCCCTATGCTTGTGATCCTCCATGGGCTTCAAACGCTCTTCTCCATGATGATACGGTCCAAACGACACTGATTGAGGTCTGTAGGCCTTCTTGTTGAGATCAGTGACGCAGGCTGGTACTTTGTAAATCGAACGTTTCTTCCACTGCTGCATCTCCTTGGATGTATCCGCCATCTGCTCCACTTTCTCCTTGATTTGGACCACCCACTCCATTTCTTTGCTGCTAATTCTACATTCATCATCATCAACTGCTGCTGCTGCTGCTGCTGTGGGCATTTTTTCTACTATTCCTAATTACCAACACAGTCAATATGTAAATTAATTAAGTCGACGATATATATGGTGGGCATATATATATATATATATATGTCCATCTCGCGCGTCACCGCCTCCTATATAATCCATGCATGCATGCATATATGGCTGATGCCAAGGGCATGCATGATGATTGATGAATTGAATCATGATGAGGTAAGCAGTCTTGCCTTTACTTGAGCATCTTTAGTCTTCAGTGTTGTCTTTAATCTGTTTGCTTTACAGCCAATCCAAGTAAGGGGAGTAACTCTGCCTGCCTCAGCAAAGCATTGGGCGCTGCGCTTAGAAGGCCAAAGAAAGAAATGAACCAACTCACGTGGAAAAAGGCAAAAGAGTTAATCAGTTATCCAACAAAAATGGATTAATACTGAAAAAGAAAATATTCATCCTCTTCCACGATTCTTTTCTTGCAACCAAAGAAGAGGAAGGAGGGCCATACATTTATCCCCACCGGCAAAACAAATTAAGGAGATTCAATTCATTCATCTATATATAGGTTCAATATATAGCTGTGACCATTATTATATGCTATATATATATATATATATGACTTTTACAATAAGCAAAGTAATTAAGCTAAATTATGAGCTAGAATATTTAGGTCAATATTTACAGCTGGAAAAGAGTCCCATAGCTCCCATAGTTGATCCATCCGTATTTGGAATTAAATGTCAATAAGGATTATCCAATGTCGTACCATCCTTGATTCTTTTGATTTTAGGCTTCAGCTGCATGCATCTGAGAATACAAACACCTTTGAAACACACAACCTTCTAGCATGACATAGAGCTTGTATGAGTCCCGGCCCCATAGCTCTTCATCAGCTCCAACTGCATCACATTTCCTGCCGGCCTTCTGCTGCAATTAATTAATGTTTGAAAGTCATGAGTTAAGATTATGCATCCAACACACCTGCTTTGCGACTAAGTGGCATAAATGAGCCATCCACAAAGATCAAGAATTGATCAGTCTGTGCACGGAATTTGTGCTAGATGTAGAGGATTGCAACTTAAAGTTGTTTATATAAAACTAAGAAATTTGAGATAGAATCTTTGAGGGTTAGGCTTAGCACCGCGGTATATGATGATGTCATTAATTCCTGGCTTCCCAGATTAATCTCAATATTATTATATATGAGAGTAGCCCGATCGATAATGGTGTTGAGTTTCTTTTGGCAGTTTTTCAATTTTAGTTTTCATCCATTGTTCAATCGTATGGATGAATGCTCTCAGGAGTCAGGATTGATGCCTATTTGTGCTTGGAGCCATATTAGTCTAGTAAATGGACACTTGAAAAATTAGCGAGTGCTCGACTCCTCTGTCTCCTTGCAAAAAACACACGTGAGTGGATTGTTTGTCCTGAGCTACCATTGCTTCTCAGATACCATGATTCCTTCCCAACAAGCCTGGCCTTTCACATAAGCAATTGAAACCTTTAACCTTCTATTTCATTTTCCATATTGGTGAAATTGATGCCGTGGTGGCAAATTCAAATTCTGATTGAAGGAATTTACAACCAAGGCAGCATCCCTTTTGAATTGGGAATCTTTCCCCCTTGACAATGACATGAACTGTATAACTGCATTGTGAATTCTGGGGTGAATTGAACTCAAATTATCCCTATTATTTTTAGGGTAAATTGTTGCAACCTTCCCTATTATTTTTAACCTTGCTGAAACCTCCCTAAAATTTAGTAATTGCAATCACATTCCCTGAACATTTTGATATAGTTGCAAGTATACCCCCTATGGTAGAATCTTCCCTAAAAAATGGCATGAAAATGTTAAATACCCATGCTGTTACTGTTGAGAATGGTTTCTAAGGGGGGAAAACAATACAAACTTTATGAATAACGAAAACAAAGAAAATTTGAAGTTGCAGCTTTACCTTTGAGTGATTGATATAAAGGGCAAATTTGAAAAATAAATCAATTTCAGAAAAGAGATTGGAAGGGTTTGGGAAATTCAGGAAACAATCATTTTAGTCAAAAATAACTTTATGAGTATTTTGGATATTTTCATGCCTCTTTTTAGAAGATTCTACCAGAGGTGGTCTACTTACACTATGTTGAAAAGTTCAGGGAAGGTAATTACAATTACCAAACTTTAGGGGAAGTTTCAACAATTTACCCTTACTTTTAAAACTCCCTATGTCTTATTTTCACTTTACAGTTCATTTGTACCAGTACAAATGCATGTTTTAGTTTGCTTTAGGTTTCATTTTAGTTAGGCCATCTGCAAACTGCAATGCAAACAAAAGCTGTATGAAAAATATGAAAAAAAAAAAGGAAAGAAGCCAGAATTTGCACTTCCATACCTTTGCACCAAAGCAAATAAAAATGCATTTCAAACAATTCAGGCCTTATAGGGATCAATATATCTATCGGTTAGCCATTTATTACATTTATCATAGACTCGCAAATAGTTGTGGGCCTTGTGGCCTTTGGGAATTTTGGTATGAAAAAAAACACTAAAATCATATATACATGCTAATCAGCTTGCTCACCTCCTATTAAAGTTTGCCTTGAAATGTCAAAAAAAACTACTTGGCACTCTTACCCAGATTTCATTTATCAGGCTGCATCTAATGATTGTATTTCTGACAGAAATTAGTGATAATAATTTTAAAGATTGATTTTACAAAATGGACGAATATAATGAGGCCCCACCGCCCAACGAGGGGCAAAACCATTGGGCATTGGTATCGGGGTTTTACATAAAAAAAGATAATTAGACTACATTTGACATTCCATATTTTAAGGATATATCCCTTTTTTTATGTTAAAATATGGGATAAAATACAAAAACCTTCCCCAAAGTTTTTAACTAACAATCATAAAAACCTCTCTTAGGCTTTTAAAGAATTGATAAAAACTTGGGACAATGATCATTCAGCCTAGAGTTAGAATTTTTAGGCCTAAAGTATAGTTAGTATAGGTGTCAGTTCGGAGTTGATACCAATCTATGGATAGGCATTGATGTATAAAGTGGGGGTATTTGACATTTTGAATGTTTATAGATTTGTAATAGAATTTAGAAATCTGCAATGGACTTATCCTTACTTTTCCATAAAAACTTCCCTTCCATCAATGACCCAGCTGGAAAATGTTAGACTGATGCATAATTTTTTCTAAATACCCATTTTACCATTTTGTAAATTAGCATATATACACTTACTGAAATAACATAGTACACAACTACACAAGCTTTCTCTTCCTTTTGAAGTAAAATGTGAACATTGATTTCCATGTGAGAGAGGGAGGCCCCGTTTGGCATACCGATTCTGGTGATTCATAGAATGAGAATTACGTTTGATATAACCAGGTGACCGATTCTCATTTGAAATGGGATGAAAAAAAATCCCTCCAAAACCAGAGAGTGGAAAAAGTTCACTTCTCCAAAAACGCGATTCTTGCTTGACCCAATTCTCACCACGTTAATTCAAATTAACGAACACATGTGACTATGTCACACATGTGAAACTGAGGGATCTTTAGTAATTCTCGTTAGGTTAAATTTCTTAAACTATCCTTATGGTTTAGCTGATTGACTAAGTGTAGCCTTACTATTTGAAAATTGACTAATACTACCCCTACTGTTTCTAACAATTGACCAACTCTATTCTTACCGTTAACTTCAAAACAATGCAAAGTGTCTAAACTATCCTTCGGAGTTCAGATGCTCTCGCTGCTAGTGGAATTACAACAGGTAAATTTCTACTCTACCTCTTTTCTCTCTCCAATAGTTTCTACTCCATCCACCCGCCATTGGGTGAAGTTATAGGGCAATGCCGCCGCTCGCCTAGAGGAAGAAGAGAGAGAGATCGGAGTTCAGATGTTGTCGCCTTCATCCAGAGGAAGAAGAGATAGATTGGAGTTTGGAGTTCAGATGTTGTTGCCGTCGCCTAGAGGAAGAAGAGAGAGAGATTGAAGTTCAGATGTTGTCCTTGTCGCCGAGAGGAAGAAGATAGGAGATCGGAGTTCAAATGTTGTCACCGTCGCCCAGAGGAAGAAGAGAGAGAGATTTAGATGTTGTCACCGTCACCCAGAGGAAGAAGAGAGAGAGATTGGAGTTCAGATGTTGTCGCCATCGCCCAGAAGAAGAAGAGAGAGATCAGAGTTTAGATGTTGTCGCTGTCGCGGAAGAAGAGAGAGAGAAAGAGATGGGAGTTCAAAGGGGGGTTGATGCCGCTGTCGTTGTCGCCTAGAGGAAGAAGAAAGAGAGGTCGGACTTCAGTTCGTTGCCGTCACCATCGCCCCTATTTGGTTCACTCATTCTCTGCTTCTTCAACAGAGCACCCCCACTGTTGAAGAAGAAAGAGGATGGAGTTCGCTCATTCTCTCTGATGATTTGGTATTGATGGAGACTGGGAAGAAGATAGAGGGAAGAGAGAGAGGTCGGAGGAGGAAGGGTGTGCCAGGTCGAGAGGAAGGGGATAAGGGTAGCATTGGGTTTAAAAAAAATTTAAACATCATATGGTGTCACGTGTTCATGGGATAAGGGTAGCATTGGATTTAAAAAAAATTTAAACGTCTTATGGTGTCACGTGTTTATGGGATAAGGGTAGCATTAGTCAATTTTCAAACACTAAAGGTCCACTTGGTCGATTAGCTAAACCATAAAAATAATTTAAGAAATTTACCCTTCTATTTATTCATAAAACACTCACTTGAAACCCTACCCCATTTCCTTCTTTTTCTTCCCCTTCTTCGATTATTTCAACCTCAACAGCTCTGTAACTGTCTTCCGGTGCTGGTCAAAATCTCAGGTAAGCAGCTGAGGTTTGGTTGTTTGGAGTTTCGAGTTTCGATGTAGAAGATCGATTGACACGACCCTCCAGTCAAAAGTTCTAGATATCATGGCAGATCCCTCCCCAACTGCAAGCTTCATCAATCCCTACGACTACCTCAAGATTGTTCCTAACCTGGACGACTCTCTCACCCGACATCATCAACCAGTGATGTTTCTGACTCGCTCCAACCTGTCGTTACTATTAACCCCACCAACAAGACTTGGGTTTGCATCTTTCGCCCTCATGAAGCCACCCCCGATTCCAAGCTCCCTCTCCTAATTTTCTTCCATAGTGGAGGTTTCATCCTCTTCACCTCTGCAACTCAACCGTTCCATGAGTCATATGCTCACATGGCGAGTGAATTACAGGCGGTGATAATTTCAGTTAGCTATCGCCTTGCTCCAGAACACCGTCTCCCCACAACCTATGAAGACACCATGGATGCAATTGTTTGGGTCAAGAATCAGGCGTTGGATGAATCCAACGGTGTGCCAAATCTGAAGTTCCCTTCTCAACAATGTGTTCCCAGACTTATTTTTGATTATGAGAAAAAGGTGTGCCAAACGCTCATACATGTATTCTTAGAATCAATAAAATCCAGAATCCATTCTTTTCGGGATGGATTCTGTGAATGATAAATATTAGAATTGATGCCAAACGGGGCCTGAATTTCTCATGGGTGTGTGAAGATTAGGATGACGAGAAATCTGAGAAAGCCACAGGCATATTGAAATAGAGAATTCTGTCCTATCTGATTGGATTTCTTCCCATTGGTACGACGACACCTCTTGGGCTCAGCATCAGTGTTGCTGAAGAAACCTAAAGAATCCCATCCTACAAAGGAAAATCAATTGAACTTGAAATTTTAATTTTATATGAATTTTATGTATACAATTGATTATATATAAAATAGTTAATTAAATTAGTATAATAAAATTATTTATTTTATTAATATATTATATATTATTATATAATTACAATTTATATAATATTATATAAATATATAAATAATATATATGGACCATATTGAGCTGGGCCGTGCCGGCCCGCGGGTGGCATAGCCCACGAACCATTATGCCAGGCCGGTCCAAGTTCATACCGGTGCCGTGCGACGATTTACACCTCTACTTTGAGTTTTATTATATCGTTCTACCCAAATCATCGGAGGACAGTTCCATTTAATGCACAGAGGAAAAAAAAAAACGGTAGGGCATAGGCATGGAAAATCAATGAAATACCACTGAATCAGCTAGAAGCCTAGAATACAATTGTTTTATTTGATTGTTTATGTGGAAAAAATGAAAAGAAAACAATAGATGATGCATGAAAATCATTGTTCGCATAAGCTTGTGTCCTGGATTATTGGGTTATTTCAGTAAAAGGGTCAGCATCATAGATTTTTCCTTAGTAGAAATGTATATAAACTAATTTACAGAACCAAAATGGGTATTTGAAAAAAAATGATGGAAGGAAGGTCTTTGTTGAGTAGGGGAGGTTTTTATTAAAATGAAATTAAAGAGGAGATTTTTATGATTGTTAAAAATTTAAGGGGGAGGCTTCTATATTTTATTCTAAATTATATTGATACCGATAGATACCGGTTTATAGTATAAAATGTGAAAAGTAAAAAAAAAAAAAATTTAGTTCTCCATGTTCGACAGCACATCCACGCGGCTTTTAGTCCAACACCAACGTATCAGGCAGAGGCCATAAAGGGCCCGTGGCCCGTAGGTAGCCCAGGCTGTGGAACGTGGACGGCGAAGGGCATAATTTCTTGGAGCCTCCAAATATGGTTTTCTGACTACTTCGGTTTTTATTTTCCTGAACTCTAACTTGGGTTAATTTCAGAAAGCAAACAGTTTCCCAACAAATGACATCCAAAATTATCAGTTGAACAGAATTGGCAGAATTGTACAAAATTGAAGCCTTCAATCTTTATTTAGTAGACCAATTCGATAGTTACAATGAATGATGTTTCACGCCAAACAGTGAAGGATGATAAAAGATGATAACAATGACAGATGAGAGATGATGACAATGCTGCCAAAAAATTATTTGACTCATACAGGTAATCTCCACGCTTAAAACTTGTTGAGCCCGAATAGGAAGAAGGGTCATGAAGGATGGCTTCTAAATTCCTGACCTTTAACAATCACTGAGAGCAATAAGCTGGTCTACTACATTTGGATCTGCAAGTGTGCTTGTGTCACCAAGCTCATCTAATTGCCTAGAAGCAATTTTCCTCAGAATCCTTCTCATTATCTTTCCACTCCTTGTCTTTGGAAGGCCTGGTGCCCAATGGATTTTATCTGGGGCTGCAAATGCTCCAATCTGATAACCACTCAAGAATTTAAAACATAACATTCAACTTCTAGGCAGAACAAGAATGTAGACAACTCACCCAATCCAAACACTCATAATTAAAGCAGCAGTATAAAGATTTTCAACCAGAAGATGAGCTTTGATGATCAATCATGTGAAAATTGGTCATTAGAGCAAGTCATCACTCATATTGCACTAGATGTCCTATAGTTTAACCTTCATGTAAGGGAAGCAACTGGGAGGACATGTACATCAAAAGCCAACTTGATCAACTGGACCATAGCCATCGAACTTATCAACTTTATTAGTATTATACTGTTGTTTATCCAAACATCATCATGGGTGATGCCCCTGCATTTCGCTCACTAATGCCCATTTGACAAGGAAAAGCAGCCAACAGGCATCTCTACCATATGTTTTGGTGAGGTTGGATGGGTCACTAATACAGGTACAATATGGGTGCTTCGGTAATTGACTGAATGGGATTGAATTGTGAATGAGAAATTATTACAAATTCCTAGCATAAAGTCTACCTCCAAGGACAGATAATTACTTTAATTGCTTCTAGATTTTGTAACCGTGGTTTAAAGTATTGATACTCTCGAATCTCGATATTTCACATATCAAGAGTTTCATTCCCTCAAAAATATCTTGAATCTCGATATTTCACCTAATTCTCAATATTAAGCATATTGATGACCCTGAAAACTGATATTTATTGCACGATATGTGTGCAATATGTACCAATGTTTTTAACCTTGTTCATAACCTAAGGGGTGTTTGGCACAGATACTTTCTATCGTGTTGCTGATATGCCTCAATCAGTAATGCAACACCATAAACATAAACACAAAAAGTAGTAGGACAAAACCTGTTTGATAGAGAGTTGATGTGGTGGTATAAGGTTTTATGCTTTGTTATTAAAAAGTTTGGTACAATTAAGATGTACGACTCTGAAAAGTTTTCTGATATTTCATTTTTCAATATACCACATCAGAGGGGGTATTGCTGCAAAACTTCTCTCCCATTTGTGGAAATGTAAAAATGTAGGTATCTGTAAACATGTAAAAGTAACCATTTATTATAAAAAGCCAATGTGGCAAGTCCTAAAAAATGTGCAACAGCCCAAAAAAAGAAGCTATTCCAATAAACCTCTTTGACACCACCCTTAGAACAAAAATAAAAGATTTTATGTATTATATAATCAAATTTCAGTCTATTGTGGAACTTGTAATCCCTTAGATCCAAAGATCCACACTTGGAGGACACCCTATCCCACCCTATAACAAATTTTACCTGACAAAAGGTCCATATCCCTACTACATCATGTCTACCAAATGGAAAAAACTTCAAAATTCATGGACTCTGATGTCAACGTCTGTAGAATCTTAAACTGATCAAAAGAAAAAAAAAATCCTTACAAACTGAGAACCTAACAGTTGAGATTAACCCCATAACCAATATCAAGACACAAAAATATTGGAGGTACCAACTCCTGATTATGCAGCATGTATTGATAATGAACAGGCCTTAGAACAAATAGTCCTCTACGAGGTAAATACATTACTATTTCCTCCCTCTTGGCTCTTCCCTTCATACTTTCTTTTTTTTTTTATCAATAACAGAATGCTTTATTAGATTATAAAAATTGTGAAACTTTAAGTACAAGAGAGGGGAGGTAAAATATCTTAACTCCCCCACAACAGAGAACAAGAAAGAAAGCTAAAAAGTGGCCCAAAACAAAAGAATCCTTAAGCACCCCTTGTTTGGCTAACCCATCAACCATGGAATTAGCACTTCTCTTCACCCAGCTGTACCTCACCTCAATATCCCTACTCAGCCATTTAAGTTTTTTCTTTTCATTTCTGTAGCTCCACAAACCATTGCTGTCTTCCTTCAACCACCTAATTACCACCTCCAAGTCCCCTTCAATGATCAAGCACCAAATGTTTAATTCTCTTGCTCTTTCGATTCCTTCCAAAGCTGCTAAAATCTCTGCCCTAAGAGAGTCACCCTCATCAATAGGGCCAGAGAACATAGCAAAAATAATCCCAGCCTCATTTCTGAAAACTCCCCCCAGCCTCTCTCAACACTAGGCTCTGCCCAATCCTCTGCAATTATCCTACTAGTAATGCCAGCTACTGAACTAGATTCCAGTGCCCCTGTGCCTCTCAATGTTGCAAACCTCCCTGTTCATTGTGCCCTCATCTAGGCCTGTCAGTGATACCCGAAACTGGCCTGATCTGACATCCAATTTGATTGTCTCGGATTCAGACGAGTCATACAATTTCGACTGCGATATAATTATATATTACATTTTAATATATAATATAATATATTAAAGCCTTTGTTCGTTTACACAGAACTTTTAAGTATTGTTTTGAATAAAATTTAAAAGCCTTTTGTATATTTAGTACACAATTGAGATTTTGAACAAGACAATTTTGTATTGGGCTGCAGTAAGTCCATTGGAGTCGGATGAAATCCGCAATCCAAAAAATCCGATCAGAGTCGAACTCAGATGCATTATTCATACATATGATTGAACTTTGGATCGGATTTGGATGCCATTAATCCCTTATCGGATCAAACTCCGATTTAGTTGAATCTGATCCGATTCCAAGCCTACCCTCATCACCTTTTATTAGGATATAGAGCTTCCAATCCCTCCTTTTCCCATCCATCTCTCCCTATCCTCCACTTCTCTACCCACAATTCTCCCTAGTGAAATCCTCACTACCCAGAAAGAATATCCCCATAGAGTTGGTCATGCATACCTCATTCTCCACCTCTAATGGCAAAAAACTTTCCAAACCAATTATCACCTCAGGGTAAGCTGCCTTAACCCTTTATCAGCATCCACAGAAGAATTATAATTATACCAAGCCAACTCATCTTCCCATCTGTATCAATCTACTCCTTTACAAGATCCATTAATGCAGGGAAGGTTCTGTATGTCCTGTTGGGCAACATTCACACTACAAGCTCCCCTAAACAATCATGAATCACCACTACCTTCATTGATACTTACAGCTACATGGATCATCACATAGGAATCACCATTTCTCACCTTTCCAACCCTAATGGTTGGAGAATGCAAAGCCCATCCTCAATCCTAGTTCCGCTGAAACCTTTTTGAAGCAACACCATGATTACCACCGTCTAGCATCCCTGTATGCCCACATCCAGTTGGTGGCAACCAGTATGGGCATTGACCTAACTATTGTCCCCATCACAAATGCCAACCACGTGCACCCCATCAAGAATGGCATTGACTTTAAGTTGAAGGGAGGGATGGACCTCCTGCAAGGCTGCATCTATTTCGAGTAAGGGTGTCAATGGACCGGTTTTGGATTGGACCCCATCCAGTCCAAAATCAATGGATTGGACGGACCAACAAGACAAATTGGATTGGACCAATCCAGTCCAAAATATTTATTAGATTGGATTGGACCTGGTCTGTCCGTAATAAATTTATATTGGATTGGGTTTGGATAAAAATATAGGTGTCAATGGACTGGGTTTGGATTGAAACCAATTTAAATCAAAACGAATTTGAACAGATTGGACGGTCCAGACATTGAATTGGACCGGTCCAAAATATTCATTGGATTGGATTGGACCTGGTCCATTTAAAATGGACTTACACTGGACTGGATCAGATTAGACCAAATCCAGTCAAATTGACGCTCCTAATTTCAAGGACCACTTCAGCCTTCAAGAGCAATAGCATGTCTGGTGAAGGCATTATTATAATTTCCTCATCTCTGCGGGACTCCACCACCACCCCAACAAATCTAACCCAATGAAGTAAACCTTTATAATTTTATTCCTCCTGTGAACTTTGAGCTTTTTTTTTTTTTTGAAAAGGTAACAGAATTTTATTAGATAAAATAAAGAGTACATGAGGAGATGTACAACATAAAAGGGGAAACCCCTGAGGATTACACCGGAATCAAGTTGTCACTATACATTATGTCCACGTGTGCTCCTAACTTAGCTAAACCATCCGCAATAGAGTTTAGTTCCCTCAGAATCCAAATCAGATTAGCACTCAGCAGATCCAGAGAATCTCAAGCTTCTGTCAAAAAATGACTTAATCTCCATGGACCTCCTTTTTCTCTTAACCATTTGATAGTATTTGCTGAATCTCGTGCTATGGTTAAGTTTTGAATGCCCCGGTTTCTAACTATTCTGATTCCCATGAGAGCTGCCAACACTTCCTCCTTGGTAGAATCAAAAACACCTATTGGACCACTAAAAGTCCACACAATAACACCCCTTTCATCTCTTACTATACCAGCCACTCCTGGGTTGCCTGATGCACTCCCATCAAAATTTAGTGTTGTTCCTCCCTCCCTCCTTACTAACACACGGGGAACAGCAGGGGGGGAAATCGACTGGGAGAAGAGAAAATGTGCACTTCTGTTGAGGTTACTGAGAATCCTTTGAACATATCAGAATTAATGGCCCAAACATTACAATGTAGACTAATTTGGGACAACTCATGGGATTTTTTCTTGTTTTCAAATAATCGATTATTTCTTTCTTCCCAAACTCCCCACAATACTGCATAGAGGTGTAAATCGGGCCGTTCCGCCCACAGACTTGCACGACAGCATGCGGGCCGTGCCAGGCCCGACACAATCGTGTGGGCCGTGCCGCCTGCGGTCCGCATGCCAGCACGACCCATATATATTATTTATATATTTTATATATTTATATAATAATATAGTATATAATATATTAATAAAATAAACAATTGTTTTCAATTTTATTATACTAATTTATTTAATTATTGTATAGGAGCAATTGTATACATCAAAGTTCATATAAAATTAAAATTTTAAGTTTATTTTTCAATTTTTTTAAATAGATAGCTTTGGCCCAACCCACGGCCTGGCTCATGGCATGGCATGGGCCCGCATGGGCTTGGGGCTGTGCCGGCCCGGCCCAACCCCCAAGTTATCCTAGGGGAGGACGACACGGCCCGCGGGCTGGCACGCCTGTTTTACACCTCTAATATTGCATGTAGTATTGTTTGCCAATAGATTTCGCCTCTTTTGCTAAGACCACTGCCTTGCCATTGTTGAATTAAATCCCGGATGCTTTCAGGGGCAACCCAACTATACCCCGCCAACTTCAGGAAGTGGTGCCAAATTTTCTTCGTCTCATTATAATGGAGGAGTAAGTGATTAGTTGATTCTCCTGCACTCAAGCACAAAGAGCAAGCATGGGGAGAAATGAAAAGTCTTCCCAAGCTCTTCTTTTGAAGAAGGTCACAAGTGTTGGTCCTTTGCAAGCTGGCTTCCCACACAGAAGAAAACTCTTGTGGGGATGTGGCTACTCCAAACCTTTTTAAATGGGAAGGGGGAGGTCTGATCACCTGCAGTCAAAACCTTGTAGAAGAACTTGGAAGAGAATTCACCTATAGGGTGAGGGGACCAAATCCTAGAGTCCTGGGAACTAGGTGAGATGTAAACCTCCTTTAGAGCTTGAAGTAGGTCTGCTACTTCGGTTGTCTCTGGGTCTCTTAGAGGTCTTTTAAGGCTTAGGTTCAGGGTGTTCTCAGAGGAAGAGGCAGGAATGCAAGCAGAAATGGTTGCATCTTGGTCTTGGGTTAGACTAAAGAGTCTTGGGAAGGATTCAGCAGGGTAGAGTGGCCCCACAAGAGGTCTTTCCAGAATTTAATCCTGCTACCATTACCTATACCTACTTTGTACCTAATTAAAGGGAAAAAAGAATTGCCAATAGAAGTGATACCTTTCCAAGGGTTCGTGGATTTTACCCGGTTCAAATGGAGATTGCTATCCCAACCATTTGAGCTTGTCACTTTTGAAAATTCATCTTAATAACCTAAGGCTAGGAATTAAGATCCCCAATGCCCTCCTGGACCCATAGGCCTTTAAGAGAGCCCTTGATCAATTCTAATACAAAGCTACCAAGATTTACAGATGTGTGTCATATAGGCAATACTGTCCCTGTCCTACTTGGCTTATCTGACTCCAGAACCCATTTCTCCACTCTGATCAGTTTCCTGCACCTTCTGGGGTCCAAAATTTCAATTCAAAATTCCACCTCTCCTAAATATACAGACATCCTAAAGAGTTATCATGAAACCATTACATGATCCCAGAAAATGTTAGTCTTGTCTAAACAGGCCACAATATGACTTCAATTCTAATGGGTACTTAAGGGTATGCATGATTCATAAATGGCTTATTAATTTTAATGTCTTCTAATACTAATGCAAAAAAAGGTCAAAGATCTTTAATGCATATTTATTTCAGAAATTCAGAATTCATGTTAAGAAAATCACTGAAATAGATCCTTACCTGATTTCTTACAGTTAATATAAGGCTTTTCCGGAGTTCTTCACTGTAAGGAACACCCTCAACTAGTGTAACAAATGCATAAATCCCCTGTCCTTTGACCTAGGAGCAAGCAGAGCATAACATGTGATTACAATATAGGTTTGGAGACATTCCTCAATGGAAGTATCTACTACAGGTATTCTGTGACTTTTTAGGTATACAAGATGGGGTACCTCATGCTCAACACCAACCACAGCAGCTTCAGCACATTGAGGGTGCGAAACTAAAGCAGATTCCACTTCTGCAGTGCCAATACGGTGTCCACTGCATACATTAACAGAAATTAAAGAAAAACCCACATAGCGCATTATACATTTAAGCCACACCTTGGTCATAGAATTGTAATTTTGTGTTTACTCATGCTCCATGTATGCATTCCCTGTATATGCTCATTTAAAAATGACAAGCTATGCAAAACAATGAATTCCAGAAGGTACCTGACATTGATAACATCATCAACTCTTCCAGTAAGCCAATGGTATCCATCCTTGTCCCTAAATCATAAAAAATAGATACAGTAAAAACACATCCGTACATGAAAATGGCCATTTAGCTTTTAAAGGATGCAGTATGAGAATGCAGCCTTAATGCATTTGGGAGCTCAAGATACAGACAAGTAACTCACAGATCTGTGGCAGAACAGTTAGAAAAAGGAGTGGCCTTAATGCATTTGGGAGCTCCAATGCTAGTTAGACTCTAGCCTAGAACCTCAAACAATAGTGTCTTTCTTTCTTGAATTCAACTCAGTTATTTTGACAAATTTGCATTCCTAGACATTTTCCATATTTACACAAACCATTAATTTCCCCAGCACCAATTTTTAGTTTCCCACTTAAACCACAACTGTTCTACACATGTAGACTTAAATGTGTGCACTAAAATTTTTTTTGATGAATTGCATGCACTAAAAATTCTGCCCTGACTATTTAACATAATATACTGAATCCTTTCTGTAACCAAGAAATCTTAAACATCCTGTTACCATGAAAACACTAACAACCTGCATCACAGGTTGACTGATGAAAACTGAAATTCCAGCAATAATATTACCTGCTACAGCCATCACCACTGAAATAATAGCCTGGAAATGGCTTAAAGTATGTAGTTTCATATCTTTCATGATCACCATAAAGGGTACGAAATGCCCCAGGCCATGAGCTCTTCACGCATAGATAACCACTGCACTCGCCTTCAATCTCAGTTCCCTTCTCGTCAACTATGACTGGCTATATGTTCACCCAAACCGTAACAATTGAGATGAAAAATGAAAGCTGTACAAGTGTACACTCACAAAAGAAAGGAAAAAAAAAAGTGCAGGTGTATCAGTTTTACATGCACGAACCTGGATACCAAAGAAAGGGAAAGTGGCTGAACCAGGCTTCTGTGGCCAGGCCCCTGGTAAGGGAGCAATCTGCAATATATTAAGCAACACCAAATTAGACTATGGTAAAATATTAACAAAAATTATATTGTGTTTTATTTTTCTTCTTTAGAATATGAAATAACAGTACTATATCAAATTGTGGTTATGCTATTGTAAACCATATTTATGATTAGGGATGTTTACCATAGGGCATCAGCAAAACCAAAGAAATGAAGCAGATACAAAATTACCATGAAGCCACCAGTCTCAGTTTGCCACCAGGTGTCTGATATTGGGCATCTTGAATCTCCAACAACATTGAAAAACCACCTAAAAAATGAATTTTTTAAGATCCTTCCAAAATAAAAGACTTTAGACCATACAGAGCAGAGAAAACTTGAAACCTCCATGCACTTGGATTGATGGGCTCTCCAACACTTCCAAGAACCCGTAAGGATTTGCGAGAGTAACGAGTCACATACTGCACAGAAAGCAATATACTGAACCAATAAGCCATGATTCGTTATAGCATCATATGAATTAGTTGGTTGTACAACTTTGATAATCCACCCAAACCCGTGTTGGTCTCGTAACAGAAAAGAAAACAAATTAAATATGTAATACTATAATAGTCAAAAGTTTTCCACTGAACTGAACCAAAACATACACAATATGCATAATGCAGTAATATTATTACAACAAGGTGCCTGTCATCATCCATGCCATATTCCAACTATAATCTAGGTAAACCTACCAAGGGCGACTTGTTCCCAGGTAACACTTGATAATTATGTCAGAACCTAACACATGTCCAGCAGTTAAGCAAGATGGAAAAACATTGAGATGGTTACACATTTAATACTGTATTTACTATTAAAAAGATCCACACATTGTAAGTTATATCATATTGAATCCACAGAAGAGGGCATAAGTACTATAAAATGCCAAAGGCTAGGTCCTCTGTCCTTGTCCAGTCCACCCCTTCCAAGACCCTAGATGGCTGGGATCAGCATTGGGTAATGGTCTTATCACATGCAAAGAAAAAGTATGAAAGATATGCAATCACTCCTTCACTTCAAATTTTAAAATAAAATATGGCATTTCAGCTAGTTGGTATCACATCATTCCTGGATAAAGATAATAATCATCCAAAGAAAAAAAAAATCAACTAATAAGATAGGTTAGATGTGATTCTGGAAATGGTTTACCTCATCCCCTTCCCGCATGAGAGAACGGACCAGTGTTGGAGCAGTATAGAATATTGTTACTTTGTATTTGTCAACAATGTCCCAACAACGTCCAGGATCTGGATAACTGGGGGCCTGCAGGTATCAATGTATTTGTTTCTTTGTTGCAATGCACAATCTTAAAATAAATGGTACGTGCAAGGGGTGAGCTATCTGTGTCCATACATCATCACCAAAGAAAAAATGCAAATTAACATACAGATTACTCTGTATGGTTGTATTGAATATTGGTTGGTTTATCTGTATCGATTCTCATTATCTCTATTGCTTGCCCATATAAGTATAGACTCCTTTACTGACTATCAAATAACCTTCAGAAACCCAAAGATATCTAGTGAAAAAATGTAGTGTAATGTCCATGGAGAGCATCTTGCTGACCTATAAAGCTCTTTTAAATGTAGAGGGAAGATAACTTGCCAATGGATAATAGTTTTTTAAGAAGTTTTTTGCTGATTTCAGTTTGAGGCATCATCCAGGATCCATATTCATGAGGGTTTGGCAAAAGTTTTAGTGCCAGCTGCCAACCTGATGCAACTCTCCTCCTTTATCCAGGCTTGGGACCAGCAGTGTAAGACAAGCTCACGCTGGCGGAGTTTTTGAGGCATTATCCAGATGATACAGAAAATATTGTGCCAAATACCAAGTATCAGCATTGTCCAAGTGTCGACATGGTTAGTCCCTTTAGTTTTGAGGTGTCCTGGTGACACCGGTTTTTGTATAAACTGTTTCATGATTTCTGAAATAAGCAGGAATTCCAGGAAAGTTTCATGCTACAAATTTCTATGGCAGCTATCAAATAAGCTGTTCTATGTTAACGGGGACTATTATGACTGCCAAATACAGTTATTCAACACATTTTGTGCCCCTTGGTGTCACATCTGAGATGAATACCAGTACCTAGATACTTAAATAGCATTGCCGATGGATTGAAATCAGAGGTGAACAAAGAGAGCTTATACAGTGGAAATTCACTGTTTTAGACCTTACATATAACATGTGTTCTGTATAATTTTGATTGGCTTAAATTGAGAAGTGAGCAGTTTTGGTTATTGGGCTGTTAATGGGCTTTGGCCTTATTTGTTCTGTTTATTCTTATCACCGTGTGTTGCATTGTTGCTGCCACCAATCAGGGGCATACTTGTAATTTTCTTATCTCCAGTGGTTAATATAAAAGGCAGTAGGCTACACAAGACCGCCTAACCAGGGGCATATTTGTAGTTCTTCTTCCTTCATTGATTTCTGAATTTGTGAAGTTATTGTTTCTATTGTTGATTTACAAGACAACTGCTTCCATTTTGCTTTTTTCCATCATGTATATCATCTTTTTATTTCTGATTGTATCTGAGCTAGTGAAGAGTTATGTTCATTGCATGTCTATGAATAAACCTAAAAAATGGATTTGTGCATTTTGTAAATGATGTTGGCAACCATATTGACGTGAAGTCTGTCTGCAAGTTTTATCTTGTTAAGCTGATAAACCTTACTGGATATGCTATATGTATATATAGACACACAGTTACGAGTTTGAGTTAGATACCCCTTCAAAAACTACCACAGTCGCTCCATTTAGCAAAGGACCATATGTAACATAGCTGTGTCCAGTAATCCAACCACAATCAGCAGTACACCTAAGGTCAAGGTGGAAAAACATTTTAAGATCTCAGCGCACATGATTTGACTCTCAAGCATTTTTTTGATGAATAACTTGACTCTCAGGCATTTCATTAATGGAAATTATTTTTAGTCAAAAAAGTATAAGTCAAATTTGCTTCTATACCAGTATATGTCGGATGGTTTGTAGTCAAATGTATATTTGAATGTTGTTGCAGTGTATATCATGTATCCCCCAGTTGTGTGCACAACACCCTGTATTAAACATGTTAGTTTTGAACACAAAATGCATGGAAAAAATAACTAATAACCTTTAAGAAAAGTCACCTTTGGCCTTCCTGTGCTCCCACTAGTATAGAGAAGAAAAAGTGGGTCTTCTGCATCAACCCATTCAACCTCACATGTGGTTGGATATTTTGGGACGATATCCTGGAAGATTGTCCTCAATCATAACAAAAGCAAATGTTATTCATAAAAAAAAAACAAAAAAACAAAAGCAAATGACTGTAATAGAGTAGATCTTTATTCAATAATGTAAGCTACATGATTTTTTTATAAGTAAGCCACATGATTTAGTGTCAAGGTTAACATCAATCTCCTTGATAAAATATGTATCATTAATTCATTACTTTTGAAGAGTTCATATTAGGTAATACTATTGCTATTCCACTTTTTGCTATTGTCATTCCTTCCTTGATATTGTGATGACCTGTTAACTTCATTAGCATACTAAAAATATTCAAAAGGGAGTGACATAATGATGAACTTGCTAGATGAGGAATGTGATGCTTTTATCATGCTTGTGTAATGTATCTTGTTTAAGAAATTAGAGATCCTAGAAAAACTAAGATATACTAGCCTGCCACCAGATATCTCTTCCTTGCTTCCATTCTGTATCTTGTCTATTCATGGCCGACTGGTTTTCATAGGTCAAACATACATCTGCTCAAGGAAAGAAAGGGAGCTAATGGTAAATATCTTTGCCAAAAGAGAACACTAGATGCATCAATTAAACATTAAGAAAATGCACTGGCAACTTCATAAAACACAATTAGTAAATCCATTCACCTACTACCAGTGGTGCATTGTAACACTTTTTGGATCAAAACTTGTAATAAGAAAGAAGGGAACTTAAGCTATTATGATATACTTGCTCAACATCCTGCCTAAACTTGTAATAAGAAAGAAGATAAAAATGAGGAACAAAAGTTCTGTGCTTAAGGAGAACACTTGGTTAATTCATTACATCTAATACAAAACCAGATATTAAAATTCCATATATTAGGTCTACAATTACCATTTTCCTTCTTAACTTAAACTTAGAAACATGATTCTCCATCTATATGCCCGAACTCCAAAGATTCAATACCTAAACATTAATCTTCAGCATCACTTTATCAATAATGATTTGTTAAGGCTCAACCTCTGAACAGATTCCTCACATACCATTCAACGGAAAATATAACAATCTTTGCTTCCTCTTCCAAAAGTTACCATTTTGTGATACCATGCTTAAGTTTCAACTTAGTACTTCCACTTTGATAAATTAATTACTAAGAAGAACAGTGTGGGACCTAAAAATCTAATGTTTGCCAGATGTATTTCATGACCAACTGAAATCTCATTAACAAAAAATAGTATTAAGAACATGAATAAAGTATATGTAATGCTATAAAGAGCAAGAGTTCTAGTCAAATTTAGGTCCAATAAAAGCAAAATAATAGATTATTCACCTAATTTCACAAAGCAACTTCCTCAAATCACTCACCTACAGAAACTCCACTTTTGGCTGATTCAACCAAGGCAACATCTACTATGTCTTTAAGATGGATGACTTTAGGACCTCTTTGAACAGCATTGCAAGTTATTACAGCTTTAGCTTTGCAATCCACAATTCTTTGAGCAAGAGACTCTGCAGAGAATCCAGCAAATACAACCTAAAAGGAACCAACAGAAAAAGTAGGGAATGGTATAATGGCTAATAGTTCATTCATGAAAAATCGATAGAGGTTCAACTATGTATAAGAAAAAGTGACCAGTGGAATAAAGATTGATGTTTTGCAGTACCGAGTGAACAGCACCAATGCGAGCACAAGCCAGCATTGCAATTGGCAATTCCATCAGCATGGGTAAATAAATTACAACAGCATCTCCCTTTTGCACACCAATGTCTTTCAAGAAATTGGAGAGCTGTTAACAAGATACATTAACTCAAAAATAAAGAATAGCTGAATTGGTGTTTACTTGCAGATAAATGAAGGATTCTTACTTCAAGACGAGGATGGGGAAGGGGAATAAGGGAAAGGGTTGGAGAAAACAATCACCTGGCAAACTTTCTCCAACAGACTGCTGTATGTCAAGCTCCCATCTTGACCCAGGTCATTCCCTTCCCAATATATTGCAATTTTGTCACCATTTCCTGCTTCAATATTCCTATCCAGTGCATTGTAGCATATGTTTGTAATACCACCTTTGAACCACTGAGCATAAATATCCACAGAGATAATAACTTCAGCTATTCTCTGCAAATCCTTCTAAAATTGGTTGAACTCAAGTACTTCAATATCAGAAAAAAAATATCACCTCAATCTTAATAGGACCCTTCCTGACATCCAAATTCTCTGAGTAAACTTGTGTACCCCACTTCTGTTTCCAGTAAAATTCTGATGCTATCTCCGACCAAAATCCAGCAGGATCTGTAATCGACCTTTTATACATCCCTAGGTACTGATCAAACATTTCCATATTGTAAGTAAGAAAAGAAGAACAATTTACTCTAAATTGGGGTGTCGATTTCTACAAATCAAAAGTAAGAAATAAGAATGTAGACACATGATAATCCCCCAAAATGTTGATTTCTTACAAAAAGGCAATAAGATGTGCAGTTTTGTGCAAAATTATAAACAGATATATTCATATAATGCATCAAAATGTTGAGGGTTGTGGGTCTGTTAATGGAGGAATGAAAGAGAGCGTTTGCTTTGGTGCTTTTCAAAAGCCAAAGTAGAAGCCCATTTGGGAGCGTTTAATTTTGATGAAGAAGCTAATGGGAGAGGATTGTAGCGAGAGTTGTGAAAAAGGCTGTACAATGAAAAAAATTGGCTCTCCGGACTCCCCCGATTGTTAACCCAACATTGCCTTATATATAGGTGGGCCCTGCCTCAAAGTCAAAATCCACATCGTGAAAGAGAAGAATAAAACGTTATCTTTATTTTCAAAAAGATGTTATCATACAAAGGGAAGAATAAGTAGAATTTTATGCAAACTAAGACCATTCAATTCAAGATAAATGCCAAAATGTTGGTTTTACACAGAACAAGCAGAGTTTATACAAAATTAGGAACATTCACATTCAATTAATGCATCAAAACATCGATTTTTTTTAATGCAAAATTAGGAAAACCAGTATTCATATTGAAATAACGTATCAAAATGCTAATTGATATTATAATAGATGAAAAGGCGGAATTTTATGCAAATATTAGAAATACCTATTTTCGTATTCAAACAATATATCAAAATGATAAATTTTTATATTAACTAATAAAAAAATAAGTGGGGGTATATATTCAGAACTAAGAGCCCGTTTGGTTCACGGAAATAGGGGCTGGAATTGGATTCTAATTGTTTGGTTGGACGAAATTGAAATCCCATCCCATTCCTGAATCCTGATGAGGTGGCATTCCCCATTTGAAGGAATGGCCATTCCCTCCCCTTCACAGCTATTGGAATAGACCATTTCGATTTTGATTACGATCCCGAACACCCACATTCAGATAATGAATCAAACTGTATTTTCATTGTTAAGAAATAAGAAGGCTACTTTTATGCAAAATTAAGAACAGCCAAATTCAAACAACACCTCGTAATGCCAAATTCCCAGGAACGCAAAACTCCAATTCGCTTAGACCCATTGACACTCACCTTCTCCGGTGACGGAACCAAAGCCTGGCGTGAGAACTCCTCGCAGGGGAACACCAGATCGTTCTCCTCCGAAGCAAGCGCTTCCCCGAGTATGACAGCATTCAAATGCGAGATCTCTCCGGCCCCGGATGGAAGAACCATCATGGACTCTACATGCCGGAGATAGTTCGAAGTATTCATCTTTTTTGTTCCGTCCGGCGTCCCCATCCCACCTGATAACCTCTTAAGAAGCAAATCTAGCGAGAAGGTACCTGGTACAAGAAAACGACGAAGAAATAGTAATATGAATAGTAGCAGTAGCAATAGTAGAGGGAAACCCGTTATAGACAGCCTTGCGCGCAGCAGATCCGGAGTCGTAGTGAGTCGGGACTGGATAAGTTTCACGTTATACACAGGTCACAGCCTTGCGAGCAGGAGCAGCAGATCCGAAGTCGTAGTAGAGGGAGAACTGAGAAGAGCGTTTTAATCTATGGTAAGGAAGTTGGGAGAGGGAAAACGGGGGCTTGTAAGAAAAGGCGGGCGGCGCGTGAGGGAAGAGACGCGCGTACTCACCAAGAAAATGAGACTCACTGGGCCACTGGCACTGGGGTGGGGCTACTGGGCCATGCGAATTACGAAGCAAGAGATCCATCCCAGTCTGGCAGTCTCCCAGATATATAAGAAGAAACCCAGAAGTTACCTTAAAAATTATGCTTTATTATCTGAAAATTAAGATTTCATTTTGACATCAATAAAGCAATAATAATAATAATAATAATAATAATAAATTCTAAAATATAGACACAAACATGCATGCTGTTGGGTTCCATGATTCTAATTCTACATCTTCGGTCGGTCTCGGGAGACGATGATGATATAATTGATAAAACTTAAAAAATGGGAAATTTGACTGAGAATTTGTTGAAAAATGGAATGAGTAAGATTTCTGGCGAGGTTTTAGATTTTAGTGGTGGAGGGCGGCCGAAGGTCAGCAGAAGTTTTTTTTTTTCCGGTTTATGTGCTTGATATAGATGATCTGAATTTTGATGGAATTTTGGTTTGGAAGGAACAAATTTCTGAGGGGTTTTGGTTTGCTGGAAGAAATAATTTGTTGGAATATTTATTTATTGGCTTGGCCCAGTTAGTCAGACATCACACTGTTTGTTTGTCTGATCTGATAGACTTTGAGTTAAAGTGATGGGTTTGGACATTGTGGTGGAATGGAATTAATCCGAATTTATTCCTTTTTACAGCCCGTAATTACTCAATCAGTTGCTTAGCATTTTATATCTATCTGGCGTGGGGCATTACCGTACCATTAATCGATCGCTATACGCCATTGCCAGCTTGAGCTAGTTCAAGTTCATCAGTTAATCCAAATTCGATGCGATGAAAAGGAATGAACGAGGTTTTCTGGATATGAGATGACTGCGTTGCGCATCGACCGTTTTACAACAAATTGATTTCGACGGTTTTCTGGATATGAAATCAACCCAAACCCATGCATAAATAAATAAATAAAGATGGGAAGAGGAGAAGAGTCGTGAAAAAGACGACCACCGATCTATAATATAATATTTATTATAAAATAATGGTTGTTTAACATGCATGTCGCCATGCTGGTAGCTAGCTGCTGTTTTTGGTTGGTTTAATTCTTAGAATGAAGGAAACAGAAAACTTTTGCTTGGTGACTTGATATGGGGTCACATTCAATCCAAAATTTGAACAAGGGGTGTTGATGTTCTCATCAACATTATATTTTAGATAAATGTCATTGATTTATTGACTAAAAAAAAAGAACATTTTCATCCAAGTTGAATGAGCCCGGCCGGAATATAAATATTATCTAAATATGCGTTTGCAATGACATCACCATTTGTATCGAAAATATATAAATAAACCTTCAGATTATTAGAGATATAGATTGCGTGTAATGAGGACAAGATGAAAGAATTGGATCGAACTGGAACCTTCAGATCATCGGGGGGCAATACTCCAGTCGTGGAGTGGATCGAACTGGAACCGTTGAGCATTCATTGAAATTCAACGAAGACCGACGATCGCCCTCGTCTAAACAGCAAGATGAAAGAATTGGTAACGGATATTCTATTGGATAATTTGGATATGGATATTGTTGCCGTGCGGATTGGTCGAGGGCAACAAGGTAAATTTATCTTTTAAGTTTCAAGTGTTAGCCAAGGACCTCGAGGCTTCGGAAGAGATTGATCGAAGCTGAGGGCAATAAGCCGGAGCGAAGTACTCCTTCCGAGGGCTATGGTAGTCGAGGACTGCTAGTTGAGGCGGGGTCCCTGGTGATCTAAGATGCTGCAAGACAGAAAGTGTTAAAGACCTCGAGGTGGATACCTGAGGCAGAGGCTCCGACGATCAAGTTAGTAAGAGGTGTGAAGTAGGGGAGAGTGCAAAAGTGCTCATGGAGAAAGTCCTCAGATGCACCAGATCTCCCTAAATTAATGCTAGGTAGACAATGTAGGTGCAATAAGTAAATGAGTGAGTAATGTTAGAGTTATTCTATTCCAGCCCCTTTTAAGGGGCAGTTACTTGTTATTTATACTTGAGTGTGCTGGTGGTAGGTGAAGATGAATGCCTCGAATGAGAACTGTACGAGGTAAGATTGCAAGCCCTGGCAATACGTCAGATAGTTATGTGATTGGCTTCATACGAAGGTAGCAAGGCTCTCACCTACTGTGCAAGCCCTAGCCCACATCAGATATGAATATGCATATTTTTTGAAAACGTATGGATACAAACGAAATATGTAAAAACACATGGATATATACGCTATGAAAATAGATACAATTTTCATAAATACATCAATTACACAAGTTTTAAGGTCAAAATAGCCACAAATAAAATGTAAATACATAAGAAATGTATAATTTAGTAGTATATATAAAGAAATATATTACAATTAATATTATGGGATGCATAAATATCATACAACTTTATTAATAATCCATCAATCAGGAGTCTAAGACTCATATTATATTGATCTTTACAAATCAACACATGAATAAAACCATTATTATGTTATATTCTATTTAATTCCAAGACATAAACAAATGCTATTATATTTTAATTACTATATCAATTATTTTCTATTTTAATAATTTTTTTTACTTTTCAACATTAGCAAAAAAAAGTCAACCAAATATTAAATTTTGAAATGTTTGATAAACAATATATTTTTTTGTAAATAATAAATATGTTATTATAAAATGTAAATCAAAATATCAATTGATAATTTATAAAATATATAATGTTAATTTAAAATATTTATTATCTATATATTAAAATTTTTAAAAGCATATAATATTGCAAATTCATAATTTTTAATTATTAAAATGATTATTCCATTATTAACACTTTTATTTCAATAATTTTTTTGAAATAATAAATCATTTTTATATAAATTTAAGTTAGTGTATTTAATAGGTCCAATATAATATTATATGCTTGAATATTTATATTTATAAATATTAAATTTTAATATTATTCTATTTAATTTTAAGTTGAAATTGTTGAATATAAAGATATGACATTTATTCAAATTGTATGTTTACAATAAAGATAATAATAATTATTGTATTTCATTTATTATTACAAATTAAAAAGTGGCTTAGTGGTTTAAATTGCTAAGCACCCTAATTTGTAAGTAAGACTTAGGTTTGAATCACGTCAAATGCAACATTTTTTAGGATAGAAGTTGTGCACGTATTTGTGTATTGCATGTATCATATTGATAGATACATCCAATACAAGGTGTATCGTATCGGTATAGGTGGTAGAAGATACATGATACACTACGATTGGCATTGTATTGTGCCAGCCATGCATATCGCTATAATACGGTACCGTATTGATCGATACGGACCGATACACACAATACACAAATACACACGCAATTTTTAACCTAAAAAATGTTAGGTCTGACACGATTCAAACCCAAGTCTTACTTGCGAATTAGGGTGCATAGTTATTTAAGCCACTAACATACAATCTGAATGAATGTCATATATTTATATTCAACAGTTCCAACTTAAAATTAAATAGAATAACATTAAAATTTAATATTTATAAATATAAATAAAATAAATAATTTACCAATTTTATATTTATATCAAAAATTGATTTTTTACTCAATAAATTTGTACAAATAAAAATACAATAATACAATAATTATTTTAGTAATTAAAATTCATATATTATATAATTTTAATATATTTTTATAAATTATTAGTAGATATTTTAATTTACATAAATAATAACATATTTATTATTTATAAAAATATTTTTTTACAAAAAATTCAAGCATATAATATTATATTGGATCTATTAAATACACTAATTTAAATTTATATAAAAATGATTTATTATTTTAGAAAATTATTGAAATAAAAGTGTTAATAATGGAATAATCATTTTAATAATTAAAAATTATGAATTTTCAATATTATATGCTTTTAAAATTTTTAATATATAGATAAGAAATATTTTAAATTAACATTATATATTTTATAAATTATCAATTGATATTTTGATTTACATTTTATAATAACATATTTATTATTTACAAAAAAAAAATATATTGTTTATCAAACATTTCAAAATTTAATATTTGGTTGACTTTTTTTTTGCTAATGTTGAAAAGTAAACAATATTAAAATATAAAATAATTGATATAGTAATTAAAATATAATAGCATTTGTTTATGTTTTGGAATTAAATAGAATATAACATAATATTGGTTTTATGCATGCGTTGATTTGTAAATATCAATACAATATGAGTCTTAGACTCCTGATTGATGGATTATCAATAAAGTTGTATGATATCTATGCATCCCATAATATTAATTGTAATGTATTCATTTATATATACTACTAAATTATACATTTCTTATCTATTTATATTTTCTGTGGCTATTTTGACCTTAAAGCTGGTGTAATTAATGTATTTGCGAAAATTGTATATATTTTCATAGCGCATCCATGTATTTTCATATATTTCGTTTGTATCCATGCGTTTCCAAAGCGTATTCGCATCCGTATCCAAGTTGTCCGATACGATACCCAACACCGATACTTTGATCATTGATTAGAACAAGCCATTATACATTTTTATTTTTATCTCTGCAAACCTAACCACCATCTATTATACATATATACTAGCAGAGGGGGCCGTGCTAAGCACGGGCAAGAAGACTATCAATTGTTAAATTATCTGTTGTTAAGATAATCTGATCACAATGATTACATTACAATAGCTTAACCAAGTTTTTGATGACTCAAAAAAAGAAGCACTATATTATATATGCAATTTTGATCAATAAATTATATATGTGCAATCCTCAATATGCCTCCTAAACAAACGGGAAGATGTAAGGAAAAAATTATTCTTGTTCAATAATAAGTACATACTATAAATAATTAAATCTCAAAAGACAACAAAAATAACATGTCTCAAAACAAAGAAATAAGATGATGAATAGGAAATTAGCAAATGGTTAAGAAAACTAAGGTCGCATTTGGCAAGTCTTTTCGTGTAGGCTTCGGGCTATTTAGAAGCCCGGAAGCCTGAATTCTGGGCTTTTCCCGTTTGGCAATGGAAAGATCTATAGGGAAAAAACTGCAACCCATAAAAGACGCTAGCAGTCTGAATTTGGGCTTTTTCAAGAAGCTTTTA